CCAACCATCACAACCCTTATATCAACATGTATATCATATCACAATCTTTGTATCAACATACATACCAAATACCAAAACCATTATATCAACATGCACAGCATATCATAACTCCAAAATCAATATGCATACCATATCATAACCAATATATCAACATGCATACCAGATCAAAATCCTTGTATCAATATACCATATCACAATCCTTATGTCAACATGCATACCATATCACAACCCTTGTATCAACATGTATACCATATCACAACCCTTGTATCAACATGTATACCATATCACAACTGTTGTATCAACATGTATACCATATCACAACCCTTGTATGAACATGTATACCATATCACAACCGTTGTATGAACATATATACCATATCACAACCCTTGTATGAACATGTATACCACATCACAACCCTTGTATCAACATGTATACCATATCACAACCCTTGTATCAACATGTATACCATATCACAACCCTTGTATCAACATGTATACCATATCACAACCCTTGTATCAACATGTATACCATATCACAACCCTTGTATCAACATGTATACCATATCACAACCCTTGTATCAACATGTATACCATATCACAACCCTTGTATGAACATGCATACCATATCACAACCCTTGTATCAACATGTATACCATATCACAACCCTTGTATCAACATGTATACCATATCACAACCCTTGTATCAACATGTATACCATATCACAACTGTTGTATCAACATGTATACCATATCACAACCCTTGTATGAACATGTATACCATATCACAACCCTTGTATGAACATGTATACCATATCACAACCGTTGTATGAACATATATACCATATCACAACCCTTGTATGAACATGTATACCATATCACAACCCTTGTATGAACATGTATACCATATCACAACCCTTGTATGAACATGTATACCATATCACAACCCTTGTATGAACATGTATACCATATCACAACCCTTGTATCAACATGTATACCATATCACAACCCTTGTATCAACATGTATACCATATCACAACCCTTGTATGAACATGTATACCATATCACAACCGTTGTATGAACATGTATACCATATCACAACCCTTGTATCAACATGTATACCATATCACAACCCTTGTATCAACATGTATACCATATCACAACCCTTGTATGAACATGTATACCATATCACAACCGTTGTATGAACATATATACCATATCACAACCCTTGTATGAACATGTATACCATATCACAACCCTTGTATGAACATGTATACCATATCACAGCCCTTATATCAACATGCATACCATATCACAACCCTCATATCAATATGTATACCATATCACAACCTTTATATCAACATGTATACCACATCACAACCCTTATATCAACATGTATACCATATCACAACCTTTATATCAACATACCATATCAAACCCCTAGAATCAACATGCATACCGTATTACACTTCTTATATCAACATGCATACAACATCACAACTCTTGCATCAACATGCATACCTTACCACAACCCCTGCATCAACCTCTACATGGGTACAATGTGTGAAGCAACTTGTGCCCCTGCCGTGGTAATGCTGGAATACGTCTAAAAGTGGCGCAAAACTATACTCACTCAATCACTTGCATGAACATGCGTATCATATTACAAATTTCGTAACCAGACCATTGTTTCACATCAGGACAGGTTAAGACAGATAAACGCATAACAGTGGAACTTTACAAGATGACATCAATATCTGATTTACTTTATCTCGACAAAAACTATGCCATGTCAAAAGACAAGAGCATTTCCTGTACACAGTTGCTCTTCGAAACCTCATTTTTATCAAAACAGCCTAAAGGCTGAAGCAAAGTACAAAGAGCAAATCTCCACTCCATAGAGAAGACTATGAATAGGATTAACACCTCACATTATATACTGGTTGAAAACATGACAATTAAGGAAGCAAAGTTATATACTGCCCATGATGAGGATTACGGGCAAGAACATTTCTCAGTTGAAAGTAGCAGCAAAATCAAACAGAAATGGCCAATATGTTTCCAAAACTTCGCAAAATTAAGATTAGAACAATGTAAAGAGATCTTTTTCAATCTTCTATAGTCATCTTTCAGGAATAGCTGTTTGCTTGTTTGTAATTCTAGACATACATTGCGCTCCGGAGACTGTATGCATATTCAAGTTCCAACAATCTTCAAGCTGCGCCACGTCATGCATTTGATGAAAGTCTGTAGATGCACATACAAGAACCTAACAATTTGAGTAAATGATGAAATGAATGAGTAAATGACAAAATGAGTGAGTGAATGAGAGACAGATCAAATGAATGAGAGAATGAGAATGAAAGAAAAAGTGTGAAGTATCAAGTCATAGACAATCACATAACCAGAATTTATTTCTTAACAACCAGAAACCACATAGTCCTGTAACATGTTCACTAGTCTTGGAATAACAGTCTACTGACCGCATCGAACACTTATGAGTGAGTGAATAAAAGAGTAAATGGGAAAAAGAGTGAGTGATAGAATGAGTGTGAAGGAGAGACTGAGCGAGGTAAATGGTTAAAAGGAGATTGCATGGGCGAATGAGGGATTGAATGAGAGAATGATGGAGTAACTGAGAGAATGAGGGAGTAAATGAGAGAACTGGGGATTAATGACAGAATGGAATAACTGAAAGAATAGAGTAAAATAGAAACAGAGTTAATGAGAGAATGAGGGAGTAAATGAGAGAACTGGGGATTAATGACAGAATGGAATAACTGAGAGAATAGAGTAAAATAGAAACAGAGTTAATGAGAGAATGGTGGAGTAAATGAGAGAACATGGGTTTAAATGAGAGAATGGGATACGACAGATAGTTGAGTAAGTGAGAGAATGAGGATGACAATGAGGACGAATCAGACAATCAGGGAGAACATGGAAGAACAAAGAATTTTATGAAAGAATGAGGTATTGCATCAGAGAATGAGGGAGTAAATACGATAATGTGATACTGAATGAGAAATGAGGGAGAGAATGTGGGAGTGATTGGGAAGTGATAGGAGTAAATGAAAATAATGAAGAAAAGAATGAGGGAGCGAACAGGACAATGAGGAGGTGTATGGAAGAATGAAGGAGTGAATAGCAAGTAATGAGAGGAATGGGTGCATGAGAGACTGAAAATAAGTGAGGAAAAACTTTTACATTATTTCTGCATTACATTAAGTACACCAGAATGACATCACAAATTATACCCATACGTAGAATAGAACCCAGGTCTTTATCATCACAAGTAAACACATCACCATGGGGTACCTCATCTTCAAAAATAGAGACTCTACACCTACAACCAGACAAAGCCAATATCATGCTATGGTAGTCTATTAGGTTTCAGGATAACAACCATGACAACAACATAAGTAAATGGATATATTCCAATAAAGAATTCTAACAAAGGAGATGTTATAATAAATCATCTGTGTATCCCTGAACTATTCTGATTGCAACACCATCACGAACTTCCAGTAGGGCAGCCCTGCTCCGCCCTCCCAATAACCCTCAACCACTCTCTTGTAATACTCCACACAGGACCAAGTTGTAACATAAGTAATTGCAGTAATGCTGTCATCTGTCCATCAAATACAATGTTACTTTCACACACTGTGCGTGACTAGCACCAGGCAGTTAAGCCAGCCCTACACTAATTTAAAGAGCTCATTTCGCAAAATGAAATATTGTTTCCTGTGAATTTCAACAAATTTGATGAACTTTTTCCTCTCTTTTTTTCACAGCAGCTCGACCTGAAGAGCTGTATTTGGTAATTGTTCTAAATGCTGGTTATATGGTCTCGTATTACAAGATTTCCTTGAAACTAGTTTGCAGTATGCTTCATCCTCTTCAACATCCTCTCATAACTTATCATCCATATTTCCCAGCCATTACCCACTAATTAGCATTTTCTTCAACAATACCTCCCTTTAACTCAACAATAGGTGCTTATCAACACACATTTTTCAGCATTTATTGTCCTTTGACAAATGTGAGTCATAGGTTAGCAGGTTCAGAAATTCATTTATATTTTCATGTCTGCAGCAAATGACATGCTATCTCCCTAATGTCAAGAGTGGTTATCCACAATAAAATGTCACTTGTCCATCCTGAATGTTACTGGTCTCGGACTAACGAACATATGTTAATTTCAAACCCTGGTTAAGTTAGTGTCCAAAATGTTTAAATCACGCCAAACGAACAACATTCTTCAACATATTTCAAACACTTGTCAAAATATTTCCATCATGATATTCATTAATTTCAAAACATGTAATCCTGTTATGATACTGCTACACATTCTTAAACTAAACATATCCTTGTTATGCAGATGCTCATCGTTTAATGTCACACACATTTTAGCATGAAATATTTCAGAAATGAACACAACTGAACACAAACTAAAATAAGTCATATCTAAAGAAAATATGACAAGTCATGTTGCACACAGTACAAATGAATTATTTTTGTGAATAAATTGTAAAGTTCAGCAAACTTGAGTCCCACCCTTAAAGTTGAACATGTGACTAAAGGAGTTTCATAGTCACATACAAAGTCTTTATCTACAATACCACAACACATGAATGCCTGAATCATGGTTCATTCAAGTGACTGAAAAGTGACAAATGAAAATATGTCTGTAAAAATCAATTACAGTGTTACCAAGTGCAAATTCTAATTGCTACCCAATCTTTCTTGCTTGGCTGATCATGGAGATGGGTCTCTGCAAAATACATATTATTCTTGAAACATCTTCAAATCCCTAAAACCATACCTAAATATATCTCTAATGATTAGTAAACCTGTAAGACAAACACAGGTAACTCTCTAATTGGGACACCTGGGCAACTATTTATCATAATCTTGTAAGAGTCACCACAAATATCTATGACAACCAGGTTACGAGAGCATTTACCCTGTCTTAAGTCAAGATAGGAAATGTCAACAAACTGTTTACCTGGGATACGAAACTGTCCGAAGACCCACAACTGTCGGACCATCCAACATTCAGTGCGTGTGTCCACCGGACCACGACTGCAAGACTACGACCCTTCCGTCTTAACTCTCCATATAACACAGGTAGCCCAACCTGGAAAATGGGTGGTAACCGTGGCAACCACCACAATGCACCAGGTTGGGCATGCATAAATAATACTTTGTTGCTATACCAGCCAGAAGTCAAATGCTAAGTAAATGATGAAATTAACAGAAATCAATGGTAAATACAGACCAGCCTCGTGCTCAATTGATCTTGCACAAAACACCTATTGTGTCGGAGATACAGTCAGAAATTATGAAAAGCCTGGAATATTCGTGCTCAGCTGTAGAGATAATGTCCTGGGCAATAAGTATCAGAAATCGCATTGATATTAGAAAAACAGTACCAATAAATAATTAGATAGTTCTGTAGTTGCATATTTAAAGATATTAAACAAACAATCGGGTATAAAATCAATAAATTATTTATTCGCCAACATCTTGTTCTTGATAATATTCTTCATGATAATCTTTTATAAGTCTACACAGCCATGACATTGAGCAATAAAATAAGGAAATATTTTCTCTAAAAGGTAGAGAAGGAATTTTTTATTGAGTGAACCAATATATCTGTCAAACTAATATCAGTGAACTAGTCGCTGTGGTATTGTTGAGTTCCCAATGGCAACTAGTGGAGAGCTAAATTGGGTACTTAGTAAATCATGACTACTTGAGCCACGCTGTTAAATGCAAGACTTGTCCCAAATAAGCTAAAACAGCATTCCCCTACCAGGCCGGTATAGGTTCATGCTGTTTTGGTCCACTGCCAACAGACAAGAATGATAGATTAATTTGAAACAAAGGGCCATGGTTTCTATGGCAATACTACAACCTATCTAAAAACAATATGCAAGGTTCAATTCATGTGAAAGAAAATTATTGAGCTGGTACACAAACAAAAGCAGCTCCCCAGATCTAAGTCGTGTTCAAGCTTGTGAAGGGGGATAATGTCGGGTGTTACCGTGGCAACCAAAATAACTGTGCAGGCAATGCTACTCAATCAATAAAAGTAGAATAAATCTTTTATAGGGTTTCTACTGGAAAGTTTGGTCAATGATCTTACTTGCAACACACTTTGCACATTCTCATAGTGTTCTTTGAACCATTTTCAAAAGATATTTTTAATAGGTCCAGACATAATATGTCTAACAACATTAATACTACACGGCAATACACATGAATATAAAACTCCTGAATTTCTTTTTGCAAACAACCCTTTTTGCTGATTAAATAGCAAATGCATGCTTTTTATTCTTACAAAGATACCTAAGAGCTAAAATCAATATTAACAATAGTGTAATTATAGCAACCAAATATGGTCAATGCAAACGCCCCATAAATGTGGCTCACACAATCAAACAATGTACACATCGGAAAACACACAAACAAGCAAAAATTCCATCATGACTGACATTCCTATGGTTCGTGTAAATATTTCAACATGACTAAAACCCCATGAAAGTTATCACTGAACATTGAGAAAATACATTTAACCACACCTTCCATTAAACCCGGCCTACCCAACCCTTGCGATAAATCACTTGGCGCAGTAAAAATTCGTCTGCACAAATTCCCAAGCACTTGAAATTTCTGCGACATCTGATAAAATCCTTTCGTTATAAGGCTAAAATGCAATATCAATTACACAAAAAGAAGAAATCTGATATGTCAAACACATTACGTAATTTTGGACATGACAAACGCACGCCCCCCTGAGCTTTGAACCGTGTCAGATAAAACGTTTGAGGCTGAAAAGCTGGGATATGTCCCAAAAACAGTCCGTAACGTCAACTGTTGTTCTCGTCCTTACTTTCAGAGAAAAAGTTATGAAAACTTACCTGACATATCTTGTTTGTGACTGGTAATGAATGGACACGACTAATGACAAAAACAAGGTCACGAATCAAACTTTTTAGAAGTTCTAAAAACTTATATGATATGCTTACCTCTCGTCTTCGATCAGATGGATGAGTTCTGCTAATTCTCGCGAGATCTCGAATGCAACCGTTAGTTGATAATATTTGTCAAAAACACGAGAATTAGACGTTTTTAATTTCCACAGACCAGTCTGAAATAACTCAAAGACCCAAATGTTCCCAACCGTCGCCAGGCAGTCAATTTTGTTAACAAATGGGCGTTTGAGGCGAAGCGGTCTCTATGGCAACAGGACGCCATTTTCTCAGTCAACACGTTTAGCTGTCTGCTGTTGACAGTTTATTTTGCTTTCAGTTTTGGAGAGGTTAACAGTAAAAGTTCACAATGTCTGATCTTGAAGGAGAGGAAACCTTTGACGAAGAGGAAGTCGGTGCCGAAGAAGCTGGAGAGGAAGAACAGCTTGATGAGGAAGAAAAAGAACTTGGCGATGAGGAACAGGCCGAAGATGAGCAAGTTGAAGAAGAAGAGGAGGAGGTACTTGTTTTACATTTTCTGAATTGTTTATTCAAGTTTGGCCTTTCGAAAGCCATAATTGGTGTTCTGATATTAATGTTATTGGCAATTTATCAGATCAAACTACTCGACATTTTAGTTGGGGCACGTAATGAATGGATACAGAATATATTTTTATTTGAAGTGACATAAAATATAGAGGTCTGAATATTAGGCTACTTTTGCATAGAAATTATCGTCTGTACTGTTATTAGATTTATTTGATTTTGGTGTTGTGCTTAGTGCCAACTGATAGTCATGATAAACATTTAGGTCCAGTGTTCATCAACCAGATAACGTTCATTAAATACAAACTATGGACACATTTGAACTGTATGTATGACAACATTGGCCTGCTGTGTTTCAAGACAAGTAAAATTGCAAAAGAAAATAACTTGACACTTACAAGGTTATAAAGGTGTATTTGTCAAAATATGACTGTTGTGTATATCTGAATCTGTATGATACTGTATTAATACATTAAATGACCGTATTGATACAAATAATATCATGAAACTCCTGGAATATTTGCTTACTTTCATTACAATAATTGCAAACTAATTTTTAGTATGTCAGCAAGGGTACTTGTGAAAGATTTTTGTTAACATGGAAAAGGCATACGTGACTCATGAAGCAATAATAATAATAATAATAATGGAACTTGAATTTACAATCACAAGTGCATTAACAACTGCTGTAGCTCATGGTAACAAACTGGAGACTAAATGCAGACAGCTTTTGTAAAGTTGATTATGTTAAATTGCAAATATCTTGACATATCTTTTAATACTAATAACATGAAGAAGAAACACTAAAACACTATGAAATGTCATGAATCGATCATGGACACTTACCTTTGATTATGGTTACAATGTAACAGATTAATCAGCAATTATTCACGATCATTTGAATATCAGAAATTGTACAAGTCTCACAATACCACAGAAGCAACTCATTATTGTTGGACTGATAATTTTAGATATATGTGGGCAAATCATTATAAAATTATATGGATGCTATTCAATAGGGCTGGCTAAAAAAAACAAAAATTGGAATTATCATCGATGGGAAGAAATATTAATGATTATCAGTATGAACAATTGTGATAAAATAATGTTTTAATTTACTTACAGACTTGTTATTATCAATTGTGCTAATTGCCAAAGATGGAAAGCAACTGTTTTTGTTATAACTTAAATGTCTGCAGACTAATCCTTGCATAAATGTGTCACCACTCACCAATGTCATGAAGCGTGTTGATTTCTTTCGGACTTTTTTTTGCATATTTGTTCAAGGTTACTTCTCCAATATTTATTGATAATTGATCGATATTTAGTTAACGATTATCTATTCTCTATGATCTGTATCGATTGACAGCCCTACCATTCAACATGTTTCATATAGCTTCATGCAAGTGGACAAGTACCTAATATTATCAAAAACGTGTTTGTTTCAGAAACCTCCTGCTAACCCCTTAACAGAAGAGATAATGGCAGAGAGCTTGTCCTTGTTGTGTAAGACTGGGGATGGACTTTCACATGCCTATGTAAGACTCGACACACATGACAGGTACTGCTTGTGATTTCTTTCATTCTTTTTGTTTTCCCCAGAAGTGCTTCAATACTGAAGAACATACATTTTGGAGGAAAGTACTGTCACCTACACAATACTTTCAGTGTTGTCAATCTTGCTTGAATAAAAACAGATCTGTTTAAGACAGCTAGCAGAACACAGCATATAACATTCCCACATTAACACTGTTTCACTGATTTTCATGGAAATTCCTGATTCTGTGAATAATGTTGCCAACCCCAACCCCCCAACCCCTACAATAATAAATTACCCATCCCTTTTTACCGGTAACATCAGGCCTATAACAATGACCCCTAGAATTGTGTTCTTCACTTCAAACACTGCAGTGTTGATAAACAAGACTAAGATCACATATCCAATTTTCAAATTACATTAGAATACATATATTATATCAAATTCAAGATTTTCATATGAATTAAAAACAAATATCCTGCATACAAATTGTGGCTTTATTTATTCACTGTTGAGAAAGTTTGCACATCAAGGGAGACAATTCACTCACGAAAACACATTTTATCTTTACGCAATATTTATTCAAATCTTTCAGCCTTGCATGATTACTATTAGCATTTGGAAGATTTAAAGAATAGACACATCAATGGCTTGATTAACACTTTTAGAAAAAAACAGCTGTTCAGTTTGAACTGAGCTATGACTTGATACTTAGAGCATCTCATTTCAGGATCTCCTCTTACACTTTGTTTAAATATATGTGAACATTTAATATGTAGAGAATCTCACCTGAGTGTCTTTTCATATGAAATATATCAACATGAATCGATAAAAGTTTAGAATTCAGAGGCTTGCCGACAAGGGTTGACATGAGGTTAGATTCTATTTGTTATCCAAAATCATTCTTCAACTTTTCAGTTTGTAAACAGTAACAACCAGTGTCTTCAGTGTAAAAAGTATTGGTAACCAGCTTCAGTGGCAGAGATGAGTGAAGTCATTTGATTGTGACGTCATGGTAACTGATGACATCACAATGGTCTGCAAAACACTGTGATGTCTCCTGACGAAGCCGGGTTTTTTTCCAACTTTTTCAGTTTGTAGACAGTAATAAGCTGTGTAAAAAGTGTAAGCTGTGTAAAAAGTACTGCTAACAGCTTCAGTAGCAGAGCCATTAGTGATGTCATTTGATTGTGATGTCATAGTTACCAATGACATCACAATGGTCTGCAAATCATTGCAATGCAATTTCATTGCAGCGATATCTACAATGTAGAGATATCGCTTGATCTAACCCAAGCAATATCTCCTGTGAGATCCAGTTTTGTATGCTAAATCTTTTTGTTACTAATTTTTAAGATGAATATTTTTAGAGAATATATTTTGTATGTTTGAACTCTTTTCAGAGAAATCACAGATATTGGCATACTTAAGGGATTTATCCACTTACGCTATGTGGATGTGACTAAGAACAATCTGAAAGACATATCTCCTCTGTGTGCACTGACACACATGCTGACACTGAAGGCAGATGAGAACATGCTGACCAGTGCTAAGTTGGAGGAGATGCCATTCCTACAGGTGGCCAGCTTCAGCCACAACCGCATCAACAACACCGAGGGAATCAACCATCCAAACCTAGAAATACTTAATCTCAACAGTAAGTTACCATGGTGACCAGAATAAACACTGCCAACTTTCAATGTTTTAGTTTAAGTTTTAGTTTTTAATTTGTATTAACCCACATTGATATGTTACTAATTTAAGTTGCTCGGTTTTATGATAATGTACATAGATACGTTCTAGTACTAGTTCTGCTGAAGGTTTCGTTGTCAGTACAGGTACGACAGAAATGTAAGCTAGCCAAAATAAAAATACAGAAGCGTACCCTAGGATGAGTTCATTCTGCCTCAGGGCAAAATGTGAGTAACCAGTTCTTTAGGTATTTGTCACTTCCTGTATGCCAAACCGCGGTTAAATTGAACACATCTTACCGAGGCAAGAGAGTTAACTGACTATAGAAGTTCAGTTTCCACCCTTGCCGAACTAGGCTGGTATTATGGAGTTACATTTTGGCTGGGCTAACAAGTCTATGCATAGTCCAATCAAAATCGCACAACAAAATCGAAATCCGGTTCGTAAACCGTTGTGCAGATTTCAGTCGATTACAGGATTTGCAAAGCATGTGGTCCGCCATCTCGTTGTCAACACATATTTTCCAAATCTCTTCATGTTTTAAATCAAGGTGCTCACGTAATTTGATGCAGTTTGTGGTGTAAGACCCATTTTATCACAACATAGATCTTGATTATCAATCAGATCGTCTTGACTTGGCGACGCAATTTTGTTTGAAGCAAATGCATGTGATATGAGAGGTGGAATCTGATGATTGGTCAGTCAAAGGGACATAGAGGTACATAACTCGTAATAGACACTTGTGACACTACAATCGAGCCCAGAAATTCCAGCCTAGTTAGGAAAGGGTGAAAACTGGACTTTTACAGTCAGTGAACCACCTTGCCTCAGAAAAATGTAACCTGATCACTGATTGGTTTCCCTCTCAGTGGAACCAGGATGTGGCATGATTTGTTGGCTAAACATAGCAACTAAACTGCAAAGCTGCATGTATTTACGGGCGATGGAGGAATGTTGTGTATCATTGTGTTTACAAACCAGTGAAGTACTTACGATGATACAAATGTTGATTATAATGTTCTTTACTGAGAAGTCATCTAAAATTATGATAAGATGATTTTAATACATATATTGCATTTACCGTATTCGACGTAATAAGCTCCCACGGCGATAATTGTTTATATATTGGCTAGTGAACAATCCCAATTAGCACCCCTTCCGATTAATCAATGTACATAAGACTTATCTATTTGTGTAAAATATGCACTCGTGTGTTATATATATGCATCCTTAATTTTGAAAAATGTGTCTGTCGTATATAAACATTTCAGACTGTCAGCATAAACCACGAAATTTATGTCGTTCTCTGTTTTTTTTAACCAAAATATTATTCTAATAATAGCCCCCTTTTTCTAATTTTGAGAGCGCCCTGGGCGCTTGTTACATCGAATACAGTATCTTGATGAAAGTTAGAACACCCACATTTATGTTTGAAAGAGTTATCTCCCTTCATGTGCAACTTCTGTGGACCCAATTCCTGGATGCTTTTGTTGCATTGGTTAAGTAATACGAAGGGATACAACCTTGGATGATTTACAAATTACATGACCGATTCTTATAGTTTCCCTATTGTAAAAAAAACATAATTGAGATCAATTTTCACAAATCGTGACTTTTTCACAAGTTATGGAATTACCTTTGGCCGTTGATATTATTTGTAACATATTTTATTTTAGAATATAAGATAGCTACTCGCTATAAAAAAATCGCAAAGAACAACGAAGAATGAAGTATGGTTTATTTCACGATAAAACATTCTATCATGATGTCATTTCTGAAGATCCAAACATGCCCTCGCAAATTGATGACGTCGTATATTGGACAACAATATTTTTTAGAGGGGAGTGTCTAGTGAATTGTTCCCCATAGATGTAGCTGGGCAACGCAGATAATTACAATGGCCCAAGAATCGCATTCAAAACCAGGAGACATGGTAATCAGTATTGGGAGAAAAGGTACAGGTAATCAACGTGAGGATTGTGAGAATGTGCGGGAAATACCCACCTGTGCATTAAATGGACTATCTGACATTGCCGAGGTCAGATTCTACTCAGGGAGTCATCATTATTAATATACGGGTAAATATTTTTAAAGCTTGTACATTTCATCATCTTCCTAAAAGAGGATGTACACAATGTTGATATCTCATATAAGAAATGAACGACTCATGGTCGTTATTTATCGTACAATAAAACACTGCAAGGAGAATAAACCACGAGGGGCGCATTTCTTGTATGAGAAATCAACATTATGTGCAGCCTCTTTGAGGATGATGATGAAATCTACAAGCTGCGACCCTCATGGTTTATTCTCCCTGGAGTGTTTTATTGTACGATAAACAACGACCATGAGTCGTTCATTTCTTAATGATTTGTGAATAACCTCCATATTGTTATGCAATTTGTGTAGTGTTTATGTTTATATTTCAGACAACAACATATCCCATGTGTCAGGTCTCGATGCTTCGAAGCTCACCCGATTACACACACTAGAACTCCGGGGAAACAGACTAGAGTCCACAGATGGAATTTACTTGCCAAACCTTAAAAACCTTTTTCTTGTATGTATCTCTCAAAAATTATGTTCACTTTCTCATATACATGTACTCTTATTCTGGGGCAAAACCTGAAGTCAGTTTTTGCATGTTTACTGTGAATTCTCTAGCAGAATAGTCACTTCCTTGTGCTTGTCTTAACACCTGTAAGTTTGCTGGCTATAACCATTCATCCACTCACTAATGGGAGGAATGTCCTCTGAATGGAATAAATCTAGCCAGTTGCACATCCAGGTTTATCATTATCATGGTGAGGTCTGTGAAGATCCGGGTTAGAATATGTCTTCAGCAACACATGCTTGACGTAATAGGTGGCTAACGGGATCGGGTGGTTCAGATTTGCTGATTTGGTTGAAACTTGTAATCATGTCCCAATTGTGTGGATCAATGCTCATGATATCAATCACTGGATTGTCTGGTCCAGACTTGATTATTTACAGACTGCTGTCATGAAGCTGGAATATTGCTGAGTGCGGCGTTAAACAAAAACAAATGGGGAAATGCACACTACCAAGTGAATGAAAAAGATGTATGAAAACAAGGGTACATCTGCACCCCCTGCACCTCCTGCATCTCCCATTAGGACCCACCAAGTCCTATGAACATCTGCGCACAAATCATGCAAACTCACCAATGATGATGATGATTATTAGGTGTTTTTTTGTTTTGTTTATTATTGTATTGTAGTAAAAATTGTATTCAAGGTTACACTGTAACGCTACTTTTCACATGGACAATATCCTGTTGTAGGGGGCCAACATGATCCGTCGATTGGAGGGGATGAGTAGACTTAGCGGTCTCACAACACTTCATCTCCGTGACAACCAGATAGACAATCTTGAAGGGTTTGCAGAGGAACAGGGGATGCTCCAATATGTCAACCTCAGGTAAGACTTCACTTTAATGTATCAACATATTATTACTTATACTACAGCTGTAATGATCGACATATATTATAACAAATAAATTATTTTATTTTGGCAAAGGAAATATATTCAGATTCAGATGAGCATAATTGTTTATGAAAACGCTTGGATTTCATGATTAGCATGCAAATATATAATGCTTCAGATATGAGACAACATGTGATTATCTGCCACATGAAGATTCTGGGTTAGAATAGGTCTTCAGCAACCCAAGCTTGTCGTAAGAGGCGACTATGCTTGTCGTAAGAGGCGACTAACGGGATAGAGAGGTCAGGCTCGCTGACTTGGTTGATGCATGTCATTGTATCCCAATTGTGTAGATCGATGCTCGTGATGTCAATCACTGGGATGTCTGGTCCAGATTCAATTATTTACAGACCACCGTCACATGGCTGGAATATTGCTGAGTGCGGCATTAAACAACAAACAAAGCAACCTGTGATTGTCTAAACAATAATTCATTCTTTGCTACAGAGGCAACAATGTCTCCAATATAAAGGAATGCAACAAACTCAAGTTGCTGCCCAAACTGAGAGCTTTAGCTCTTGGAGGTAAGAATATAGTTTCTGTATCTCTGTCTGTGAAAGATCAGTTTTGCAAATTTTATGAAACCTTTTAGTTGAAAATAAACCTTACATGAGGAAGAGAATTTATGGATGTCAACTTCTTTATTATGGGGAACACAACATTTCGGAAAAAAATGCTTACTTCTTCATCAGGTGAAACTCAGGATGATACGAGGCAGAGAGCATATACATGTACCTGTAAGAACAATAATAGTAATAAGATAACAACATCCATAAATTCTCTTCCTTAAGTGTATCACTTCTGAATGCCTTTCAAAGACTTGATAAACCTTACAGTATCACATTTATAGCACTGCATGGTACAATTGTTTTGAGTGAGACCCAAGGAGAGATGGGAACAGGACTATTTTACAAGTAACTCATTATGTTGTTTAAGTCTATGTAACTTTATGTTCTTTGTAGTATTGTTGTAAGGTGGTCTAATATTTACACTCTTTCTGTTTCAAACTACTCAGAACTCAATATGTCTCTGAAGATCTCCAGGACCTTCAATTAACAATGTTTTGATCTCAGAAATACTGAATTACATTTTGACCTACTGGTAGAAAACTGTTGACTGTATGTGCTGATGGAGTGCCTCCCTGGTTGTGACAGAGAACCCTATAGCAGAGGAGGACGACTACCGCCTGGAGGTGCTCATCTCACTCCGCAGTCTGGAGCGGCTGGACAAGGACGAGTACACAGGGGAGGAGCGCAGTGAGGCAGAGGAGATCCATGAGCAGAGGCGGCAAGAGGAGTTGGCCAATGAAGGGGTACGTTAGCGATTGGGGCTACGTCAGCGATGGGGGTACGTTAGAAGCGGTGCATGAGTGGGATATGTGAGCAGTGGAGGCATGAGGGGGTACGTTAGCGATTGGGGCTACGTCAGCGATGGCGTTACGTTAGAAGCGGTGCATGAGTGGGATATGTGAGCAGTGGAGGCATGAGGGGGTACTTTAGCGATTGGGGCTACGTCAGCGATGGGGGTACGTTAGAAGCGGTGCATGAGTGGGATATGTGAGCAGTGGAGGCATGAAGGGGTGTACGTTAGCAGTGGAGGCATGAGGGGGTATGTTAGCAGTGGGGGCATGAGGGGGTACGTTAGCAGTGGAGGCATGAGGGGTGTACATTAGCAGTGGGGGCATAAGGGGGTATGTTATCAGTGGAGGCATGAGGGGGTACGTTAGTAGTGGGGGCATGAGGTGGTACATTAGCAGTGGGGGCATAAGGGGGTATGTTAGCAGTGGAGGCATGAGGTGGTACGTTAGCAGTGGGGGCATAAGGGGTGTGTTAGCAATGGGGGCATGAGGGGGTACGTTAGCAGTGGAGGCATAAGGGGGTATGTTAGCAGTGGGGGCATGAGGGGGTATGTTAGCAGTGGGGGCATGAGGGGGTACGTTAGCAGTGGAGGCATGAGGGGGCATGTTAGCAGTGGGGGCTTGAGGGAGTACATTAGCAGTGGGGGCATGAAGTGGTACTTTAGCAGTGTGGGCATAAGGGGGTATGTTAGCAGTGGAGGCATGAGGTGGTACGTTAGAGTGGGGGCATAAGGGGGTACGTTAGCAGTGGAGGCATGAGGGGGCATGTTAGCAGTGGGGGCTTGAGGGAGTACTTTAGCAGTGTGGGCATAAGGGGGTATGATAGCAGTGGAGGCATGAGGTGGTACGTTAGCAGTGGGGGTTTAAGGGGGTACGTTAGCAGTGGAGGCATGAGGGGGCATGTTAGCAGTGGGGGCTTGAGGGAGTACATTAGGAGGGCATGAGGGGGTACATTAATGTTGCATGGGTGGAGTATGTTAGCAGTGGAGGCATGAAGGGGCATGTTAGCAGTGGGGCCTTGAGGGAGTACATTAGTAGGGCATGAGGGGGTACATTAATGTTGCATGGGTGGAGTATGTTAGCAGTGGAGGCATGAAGGGGCATGTTAGCAGTGGGGCCTTGAGGGAGTACATTAGTAGGGCATGAGGGGGTACATTAATGTTGCATGGGTGGAGTATGTTAGCAGTGGGGGCATGAGGGGGTACGTTAGCAGTAGAGGCATGAAGGGGCATGTTAGCAGTAGGGCCTTGAGGGAGTACATTAGTAGGGCATGAGGGGGTACATTAATGTTGCATGGGCGGAGTATGTTAGCAATGGGGGCATGAGGGGGTATGTTATTTTTGGCATACAGGGGCACAAAAGCAGTAGAGGCATCAGGGGGTACATTAGTGAGGCATGGGCGGGGTGTGTTAGCAGTGGGGGAATGAGGGAGACGTTTTTGTGTAGCATGCATGGGGTACCTCAGCAGTAAAGGTACTTTAGCAGGAGAGGCATGAGGGGGTGCATTAGTTGGGCATGGCGCGGAGGGGAGGGGTACCTTCGCAGTTGGGCGTAACAGGGTGTGTTAGCAGTGGGACATAGGTCGGTTTATTATTTCAACAATACAAGATATTAGTAGATCTATGTATTTTAGGTAGTAAATTATAGCTTTAACATTAGTACAAATATTAGTTTCAGTTTCAGTCTCTTATTTTGCCCCATAGCTAGTCACCTTTGTATCTATCTGCACAATAGTCCATTAATACAGACTACAAATTGGATACAGAAGCTGTACAGCTCCAGTTCTCACAGCACGAACAATCACAGTATGTTCGCCTGGTTGTTAGTATGGGTTTTAATCAATGTAAAACGGGAGCATGTTCTGCTGGCGCCATACAATTTTTTTTTGTTAAAAGGATTACAACAAATAAATTATTGTTACCATGGTAGCATCAATAATAATTCAACGAACAATTTGGAATTATTTCAGATCTACTATATAGATATTGATATAGATGTTTATATGATATAATAAGAATGCAGGTTATATAGGTCAAACATATACCGTATTCGCCATAATAAGCGCCCACAGCAATATTTGCTAATACATTGGCTAGTGAACAATCCCAATTAGCAAACCTTCCAATTGATCAATGAACACAAGACTTATTTGTTCATGTATAATACACACTTGTGTGTTATATGCGCCCTTAATTATGGGCAATTAAGTTCTGGAAAATATAGCTGTCATGTATAATACAGACAGACTTTTCTTTTGTATCATTTCAGGCTGTCAGCATAAACCACAAAATTTGCAATCTTTCAGCTGTTTCTTTTCTCACCAAAATTATATTCTAATAAGAGCCCCCTCTTTCTAATTTTGAGAGCGTCCTGGGCGCTTATTACGTCAAATACTGTAACCAAGATATAAAGGATGAGTTACAGTATTCTATCATTATTTTCCAGGTTTAAAGATACTTCTAATGAAAACTTTTGAGCAGAAACTTAATTTTTAGGCATCACTTTGATATCCTGATTAATGTACTGTTATGTTTTCAGTCTTCTCACAGGCACCTGTCACACTTTGCATGAGATACACATCTAGCATACAGTCCTTTGAAATAGCATAGAATGAACTACACATGATAGTGTAACAATACCTCAAAAGATGACAGCCTATACCTTGGAAGATTTCCAATAAGAATTTGTTTTAAGATTCAAGATAAGATGTTTTCTATACTCGGTGTGTACCGAATGCATAAAGACCTGGAAACTGACCTTATGGCATGGTTTAGAATCATGTTTGTTGTGCGAGGTAATGTGGGACTATATTTACATTTTATTATTATTAACAAAGACTGCTGCAGCCTAATTTCAGTTTGGTAGTTTTTAGCATTTTTGCACAGGTTATAGTTAGAGGTCGTTAAATGATGATAGTTAGACAGAAGGACATTAATTTACACGTTCCTTGCCGACAAATAATGCAGTTATAGCTTCTGGGACACACAACATGGTATAAATACTGTAACTTGCAGACACGTTAAATGGTGGAAAAGTCCACAAGAGCTTACATGAATTATATGGTATAAATACTCTTAGTTGCAAACCTTCTCCGTGGTCTAGAGGTAGAGCGTCCACCTGGAGAGCGGAAGGCCCGGGGTTCGATCCCCGGCCGTGTCATACCAAAAGACGTTAAAAGATGGTACTTGTTGTTACCCTGTCTGGCGCTCGGCATTAAGGGGCTAAAACAAGGACTGGTCGGCTCGGAGTCAGTATACTGTGTCTGAGTGGGGTATTCATGTTAAACTGCGGCATGGTTTCTCAGTGGGCTAGCACTATAATAGGCATCAGTCCGGACTAGTACAAGCAGCCACACAAACACACACACACGTGCATGCACGTCGCTATATAAGTGCAATAATCTTGGAGGCGACGTTAAACCCAATTTCACCTCACCTCTTAGTTGCAGACATATTAAATAGTGGAACACATTAGTTGGTATCAATGCTGTTATTTTAAGACACATTAAATAGTGGAAGAGTCTGCTTGAAAACATTTGATGGTATAAATACTGTTACTTGCAGACACATTAAATAGTGGTAATAATAATGTTAGTTGCAGACATTAAATAGTTGAAATGTCCACTGGAACACATTACATGGTATAAATACCGTTATTTGCAGACACATTAAATAGTGGAAGAGTCCACTGAAACACATTACAGGGTATAAATACTGTTAGTTTTAGACACATTTAATAGTGGAAGACTCCATTGGAACACATTACATGGTAACATATGAAAGGTAGGAATAATGTGTCACCACATTTTGAATATTACACAGGTAACAGAAGAGGAAACCGTGGAGAAACAAGACTAGAGTAACATAGCATCAACAGTAGGTGCTCAGTTGTAGCAGGGCGTCACCACTAGGTGGAGCTGTGTGTTTGCTGGCGTTGGTTTTGCTACTTACCTTTTCCTCTAGCCTGAAACATCCCTCTGGTCGCCTTCATAGTAAACTGAACCCCTCATTTATGTATACTTTTAATCTAACTTTTGTCTGAAAATGTCGAATTTTGGGTCTGACATTGGCACAGCTCATTTCTCCTTGTCTACATGGTGTCTTGTTTCCAAATTTGTCAGAACACTCTGAGTCTTACTTACTTACATTGGAGATTTTACCTGCGCTTTCCGACTTATAGCGTATTTCGCACACTCTCAGTCTTTCAGTTCTGACATTTACAACTGTTACCCATGACTAAACTTACTTGAACCCTGTGGGGATCTGTGTTTGATTTGACCTTGTGCTGTCTGTGTTTGTTATAAGAGTTAAAACACATCTGTGACGTCATTCTATTGTTTGAACGCTCTATTATATTTCAGGAATGGAGAGTTGCTTGTCAACTGTACATTATCTTGAAGCAGCATTTGAATTTTTCAAATATTTTCAACTACAGAATAGTTTGTCAAAGTGTAAAAGTAACTCCCCATTCGTAACTCCCCATTCCAATGGAGAGTTACTCGGACATTCCCCTCTACGTAACTATGTGGATTGGGTGCTGTGGCTCGGTGACTAATGGTTGATCATATGCGGGTCCAGAGGGGGGATCCAGGTGGTCCGTCATCAGGTCTGTCATACTCAGACAGCGTGGATTTGCTGACAATATCAACCACTTCTTCATCTCTTCCAGATTTGATTGCTAACAGGTTGCTGTGATGTAGCTGGGATATTGCTGACTGCAGTATTAACTAAACTGAATCACTACCTTGCTATTTGTCCTGGATTTAGATGTCAAATTGATAAAACTGGAACAAGGATTGAATGTCAAGAGCAGCTACACAATATCACCTGACTCTCTCAGCGCAGCATCATATCATGAAGGATTGAGGCTTGTGCTATCAGTCACTGGTTTGTGTGTCCAACACAAGATTGTTTGTTGTCGACCAACACTGCAGAATTCATCCAAACACATATTGTTTCTCTCTCTGCCCTTTTGGGTATGAATGGCCAAGTTGACAATGGCACTGCAAGTTGCAGGATGTGCTGGTCATGGGTTTGAATCCTATCGTCAGAGAAATAATTATTCTAGGTTTGTCTACACCATACCTGTTCCCGTGTATCTCACCAGTGATATATGTCATTCTTTTTTTCTGGATTTATGATTTTTTTAATATGTTTTTTCTCAAATCTGCTGGCTCCCAAAGCACTTCAGTATTGTTAGGTCCGACTGAATGGATCGCCTGTTTCAACTCCAAACTTCAATGACACTAAAGGCCAAATGACAGCATTAGAAATTGGCACTAGTCCTGTAGTCCTTACCAAACTGCCCAATAGTAAAGGTATCATAAGGACTAGTAGAAATTGTCCCATTTTAAGGGTTTTGCTATATGTTTTCATTATCATGATTATAAGGACTAGTGGACAAAAACTGTTAGTTGCTAACCCTGAATGAACTAAATACAAAGAATAAATCTACCAATAAGTGTTATCATCTTAAAGTTGTGACACTTCATAACCTGTTACACCCTATGGGGAATCCAGAGAAGAATGTGGCCCCATACCCCATGCTTATTGCAAGTGTTAGATGAGGATCACTTGGCCACAGTGTGGGACCTGGCTGATTGTGTGTCACCATATTCCAGAGTGCATCATACTCATGCCATCAACCACCGACTTGTCTGGCCCAGACTGGAGACCCTGCTGGCAGCCTGATATTGCTGGAATATTTCTGGCTGTGTCATAATGCATTATTCACTCACTTCCTGTTACACCTTTGTTGGTAAAACCAACAATACAAACTGCATTATTGTAATCCAGTGTTTTTCTCTTGAACATATATTCAGTTTCAGTGGCTTATGTAGATGTAGTTTGTGGCTGTCTGCCCAGTGTATAAACTCTACCTGTCTCCAGTAGAATCTTACAGCTAGTCTTACCTGTACCCAATCTTACCTGTAGATAGCTATACCTCTCACTTCTTATATAATCATTATGTATTCAATATTTAGTCTGCTTGATTAACAATAACAGTCAATAGGACAAATCTGTATCTCACAGTCAACATTCTGTAATAGACAATCTGAGTAAACTGTTCTACCTGGAATGTCTTTTCAAGTGTCAGTCAAACTTCTATGCATTATGGACATATAGTATTTATTCTGATGAATCTCCAATTCCAGTATTTGTTGAGGAAATGTTGCTTTTCACATAGAGAATCTCACCCAAGTGTCTGTTGATATCAAATATATCAACGAGTGTTGATGTATTTGATATCAACAGACACGGGGGTGAGATTTTATTTATCATCCAACATCATTCTTCCAACTCTACAATGTAGAGATATCACTTGATCTAACCCAAGCGATATCTCCTGTGGGAGCCAGTTTGAGATGATAAACTGTGTTATCACTAGATAACACTAGAACACTAGATTTAGACAGTCACATTCACAATGAATAGATAGAGATAGGATTGTTGTAGCGTTAGATTAAACACACTTATAGTCCTCACCACTTGAAATAGAATCACGAAATATCACAATTGTGAAATAGCTGCATGTGTGCTAATACTTAAAATCTGAAACCAAGCCATGCTGTCAATAAGGAATATTACTTACCGGTACAGTAATTACACAAAGTGGGAAAATATTTCCAGTGTTGAGGATCATAGCAAGATTAGCAAACTTTCAACTGCTGATTTAAGAATCATTATCATATTGTTAAAGTTTTGTCCATCTTCCAGAATGAAGAGGTGATACCATCTGATGAGGAAGGGGGAGACAACTGAACAGGCATGGTGTTCTGACAGCTACACGTGGTGGTGAACCCAACCTCATTAACATCAGATCTTAGTACTCACAGCAGCTAAACAAAGATCTGAGGACATCGCATTAGGGGTCACATCAGAACGACCTTTCATCCATCAGAGCATCGCTTACCAGATCATGAAAGTGACAGTCGGAATGTGATTTCTAAAAAAACTTTAGCACAGGTTATTCCGAACAATAATTACGGGCTTAATGATTGAATCCACACAATCTTGACCACCTACTAGCCATTCCAGAATGTTCTTTTGTTCAGGTTTCAAATTTTAAAATCGCGAATTTGTAAAAATATATTTCGAAGCATTGTCGTCAATTTGAAATTTGTGCCGTAAAGCACGTGAAAGCTGCCTTCCGATTGGCTAATGTGGACTTCTTGTCAGTCATTCCTTTGGTCAGTCAAAGTTCGCGCAAGATCCATCTGTCATGACCCGTAATGGGGTGTCCTCAGATCTTTGTTTAGCGGTAGCGAGAACTAAGATCTGATTTTAATGAGGTTGTGGTGAACCAGTCAACCGTCCATTCTTCATGAATCTCGGATCCTTTATGACTCTTATCAAAGAACTTCAGGTTTAATTGTTGACATGGCAACTGACGGATATTGAATGTCTGACAAAGGTCATACAATTCTGTTGAAGTATTGAAATGGCTTCCAGTTTAGGTTTATCCTGAAACCTTTTACTTTGTACAAAGAACATGTCCATGTATTACAATAATCAGCATTTTCTACCCTCATGTGCCCTGAACATAACATTGTAGCATAGCAAGTTGTCATGGGACAAACATGTTAGGTCTGCTTTCGTCTGTGATATCACATCCGGCCACGCATTGGAATCGGTTGCTATATTTTCTTTCTTCATTGTTTCATGTGTAAATTGTCTTTTAAAGCCGACAAATTATTACTTTTTACCCAACATTGAATGAATTTTTAGACAGTTGTTTAAGACAGAAATATTAATACCGCCACTTGTGCCTCACGGTGAAAATATAGCAACTGATACTGGCTGTATGTATTGTAATTACAAATTGAAATGTATTTCATAATAAATATTTATTATTGTGTCTTGTTTTCATGTTACTTCCTATGATCTATTATAGGAGTGATAGAAAAGTAGCTAGGATGACTCTTTCATGCTTCATCTTTTTATGTTATACTAGTGTTTTGGGGGGATTTATGATATGTTCTGACATTTAAGATCACTTTTTGGGGGGGGCACAGGGCCCAGTCGTCTAAGGCATCGCGATTCTCTGTACAGAGTTGCGTCCCTTGGGCACGCCAGAAACCTATGATTGTGGGTTAGAATCCCGGTTTGCCCCAATTGTGTTTCTAGGTTTGTCAGCACCATACCCGTGCTCATGGGTTTCACCGAAGTGTTAAACGTCTAAGACCTGCATCACTTCGGGCTTTCCTCCCACATTTAGCTGAAACGCCGCGATAGAACTGGAATACTGTTAATAGCGGCTTTAAACCCAACTCACTCACTCACTCACTAAATGTATTGATATTGCAGTCTGTGACTGTAGCCACTAGTCCGAAGCCCGAGTCAAGTACTGTTTGGTCTAGTAAGCTCAGGCAGGCTAGTAGTCTCAAATGATTTTGGCACAAACTGTGAAATTAAAAGGTTATCACTCTTTTGGAGCATCTGCCAATTCCACTTCCAATAAGCCTGGGGGTGACATGTCAAATATTTCCAAGTTTGAATCAGGAAGCTAGTCTCGTTCTAGTTTTACCGCTGATCATATCTACCAGTTTAATAGAGGGTTTGTCAACCTTATTGCTTTACCTTTCTCTTATGAAGTGATTGATGGAGTGAGTTGCTTTTAACATTGCTTGTGCTTGTTCAGTTGTATTTAGTTTAATGTGGGAGAAAATCCCAAAGAGACACAAGTTGTAGACTACTACCACTTTGGTAAATCCCATCAGCACAGGTATGAATCAAATGAAGACCAAGGACCATAATCCGTGCAAATCAGGGATTAGCAATCCTGCCCACCAGATCCTGCCACTGCTAGGGGACATAAATCTGCTATGGTATGGCGTGGTGCCTTTGATCATCTGGTTATCGGTGATCCCAAAGATTCCAAACACAACCAGGTATTAAAAAGGTTCCAATCCTCGTTCTCCTTTGTGGCACCCAAAACAGGTGGGCCACCTATGTACCTTAGTCAAGGATTGTCTGCAAAACTGTCTACAAATCAAGTTCATCAATATTTTTGGTCGAGCCAATAGCCACAGGGTATGAAGGCTGCACTTGCACTATTCGATAGGCTCCTCATTTGCCTGTATTCAAACCATATTTCTTAAGTAAATCTATAACAAGCATGACATGACATCCTACATGATACATAATTTAATCTTCCAGACAAGAAAATGAAGCTGATACAGTGTGATGATAACCATCTTTTTTCACAGAGCTGTACATCCATGTCACATGATACACTCAAATAATGAAGCTGTAACCATAGTTACATAGCTTTTTTACTACTTCGGATCATAATAACAGAAATACTGACATAAATAAATTAGTAATAGCCAACTTTGAAAAAAAATGGAGACAATGGTGATACTACCATCCACGTTTTGTCCACACTGTTCCATCATTATCCCCCGGCCCAACGAAGTTGGCGGGGGATATAGAAATGGGTTCCGTCCGTGCGTGCGTGCCGAAATTGTTTCCGGAGCATAACTCAGAAACCGTTTAATATTTCTCTACGAAACTTTGCATGTCTATCAGACTCATGCTGAACTGGTGCCTTTTGCTATTTAGGAATTTTATAAAGTTTTATTTTTTTACGTTTCCATTGCAACAAGTTGGACTTAGGTTCTATAGGGTAGAGTTTGTTTCCGGAGCATAACTCAAAACCCATTCAATACTTTCCAACAAAAACTGTGCATGTTTACCAGACACATACTGGACTGGTGCCTCTTGCTATTTAGGAATTTTAGAAATTTGTATTTTTCACGTTTCCATGGCAATAAGTTGGACTTAGGTTCTACAGGGGTGGTGTTCGTTTCCAGAGTGTAACTTAAAAATCGTTAAATACTTTCTTACAAAACTTTGCATGTCTACCTGGCACATACTGAACTGGTGCCTTTTGATATATAGCACTTTTAGAAATTTTTATTGTTTATGTTTCCATGACAACAAGTTGGATTTAAGTTTTAATAGAGGATTGGTTTACTTAAGTAGTATCACAAATAAACTCTTAAATATTTCCTTGCCAAACATTGCATGTCTATATATAAAGCGCATACTGAACTAGTGCCATTTGAAATTAAGGAGTTTTAGAAATGTTTATTTTAGAATTTCCATTGCAGCTATTTTGACATGGGCTAAGAGAAATGTTGGGTCAGTTACCTGGTTTGACATCATGAAGTATAGGGTGACATCTTTAATTATTTGCAACAATATGTTGATATGAAACAATACAAGCAATGAAAACAATGGCATAATTAACATGAACTAGCTAATTAGCTAATGTTCAGTGAGAATTACTGAAAAAAATATTTATAAACGATATCAAAGATACCAAACATTTAGCAGAATCACTACAACATTTGGAGTGAGTGAGTTTACCACTTCAGTGAAATCCAAGAGCATGGGTATGGTGCTGATAAACCTAGAAACATAACTGGGGCGAACCGGGATTCAAACCCACAATCATAGGTGTCTGGCTTGCCAAAGGGACGCAACTCTGCACAGCGAATCATGGCGCCTTAGACAACTGGGCCACCCATGCAACATTTCGAACCAAATTCTGCCAACACAATACATCGTTGCAAGAATGTCTTTATAGTAACAATATTTACACTCATAGTTTTAGTTTAAAGATATTTGGGTTTGAAGATGAAGCCCCAAAAAGTATCCAGTCTCTATACAAAGCCCCCCCCAACTCACTCACTCACTCACTCACTCACTATCAAATAAACATCACCAGTACTCTGGACCAGTTAATGACCTTAGTTATTGAAGGTTTCCTCTAGTGAGGATTTGGGTGATGAGATGCAATACAAAAGAAGATTTATTTTCATCAAAATTAATTATGCTGATAAAGATTACTAACTATGTTGTAAATTAGTTATTTTATACCCAAATTTTCCTAGATATTTCTGACTGAGTGCCTCGATTAAGGTTTGGCATCTCTGAGACATCTGTGCCCCTATGGGTAATATTCCTATGTATACTCTAAACAATCAGATTGGTAGCATGATCACTCGTGTTGTGACCAGGATGTGATTGACCAATCACATAGCTATATTCCATGAGTCACACGAAACAATAGAGATTGCAGTGGTACGACTGTCATAAGCCTGTGTTTGCAGGATAGTGAGTGAGAATGTTGTGACGCCACTTTTCGCAATATTCCAGCAATATCAAGGTGGGTGACACCAGAAATGGGCTTCACACATTGTACCGATGTTGGGAATCGAACCGGGGCTTCAACCACTAGGCTACTCCACTGACCCTAGGCCTGTGTTAAAATATGACAGTTGACACTGTCTTTGCACTACGATTGCCTGTGGAACGGGGCCCAGGGTAACAAGCACTTAAAGGGCAAGTTCACACGGAAATGAACCAATTTTTCTTGTACTTTTTCCACATTAAAAGTGTTAACATAGAAGTGTCATGGACAAAAATATAAAAACATCATATTTAATTAACATATTTTTTGCATTAAAACGATTTATATTTTTCACATTTACCAAGTGTTCTATTTCCATAACAAAAACACCATGGCTTATGCCCCTTGCAATATGACGTCATTGGTGCCAATTGATAAACATTATGACGTCATCATGCTTTGTTAGAGCCGCTTCACGTGGTGTAGGTACAGTTTTGTGATTCTAGCGTCTCAGATGCCAGCCAGAATTGTGTTATGCCGAGTCACCACTGCGCCGGAGTGTGTCGTAGACCATGTCGTTTTACCGCAAACTGGTCCTTGATATCTTTTGCGTTGAGAATAGACAGGGACCCAGTTGAATTGGCACCAATTACGTCATAATCTAAGGGGGATAACTCAGCCCTATTTCGCTCGTAAAACGAAGGCCTCATAACGGCATATCATTTTAACATTATTGTGAGCTTCCTACTTTCACTGTGAAAAAAAATGAGTGTATATTTTCAAACACAGATACTAACTAATTCTAAAATTGCGTTTTGTTTAGAAAAAGAAAGAAAGTGATTTTTGCGTGTACACTTCCCCTTTAAGAAAATAACTATTATTTAAATAGATATACATGTAACAATAAGGAGATGGTGGACCGGTACCTTCAAACAATCGATTAAACACAACAAATTCAAACTTAAATGCTACTTGGATAAAACCCATTTTCATGTAATATGTGTAACTATAACTCACAGTCTCTAAGAAACTAACAATCTATATTGACCATCATGCGTATGCAGTGTATGCACATGCATCACTGATGCATGAAATCTCTATCACGGCAAACTGGAAACATACTATTAATATAAATGCATGTTGTAAATATTACCAAGGATACAGCTTATCTAATTTCCTAACTAAAAAAAATAATAATAGTCTTGGTTCTCAGGAGCAACAATTTAATAAACCAACCACCCACCCACACAATATTTTCAAAAGTCATTGCTTGAGAACCAATTTTTTTAAGCCTAAGTAATAAAGACTTAAGGTACATGTTAAATATATATATACAAATGTACATATATAAAGACTCAGATGCATGGTTTGGCTATTAAGAGGTTGATAATGTCAGGCTAGATTTAGAAGTTGTATGTCATTCAGATAATTGGTAAGGACTCTCAAATCTATGACACATTCGAGCTCACGCTGCGATATAAAACTGGAATACTGTTAAAAGCGGCGTTATACCCAACTCACTCACTCACATTCGAGCTCACGCCACGATGTAACTGGAATACTGTTAAAAGCGGCATTATACCCAACTCACTCACTCACTCACATTCGAGCTCGATGCCATCACTATATTCCACTAAATGGTCTGATTGAAACTGTGTGAGTTCTGTGCACATTGCAGTCTGTGACTTTAACCACTAGTCCAAAGCCCAAGTCTAGTAACATTTGGTTCGGTCAAGTAAGATATGCAAATATAAGTCCATACATTAACAAGATCTACTGAAACTGATGTCAAGTGACATGCTCGGGCATGTAAACCCTTAAGTGTTTGACACAGATACCATTGTAAGAGAGTTTTCCTTCATCACAGTTCAAATTTATTATGTCACTGAAGTTGATATGTTTTGAAATTAAGTAGTCCAAAAAGATTAAAGATCCACTTGATATATTTTATAATAGGACATACGCACTCTGCGCTGCAAGTGAATTACTTAAGTATCAAACATTATAAAGAAAGAGGGTAAAAAGAACTCCAGCTGAGACCCCTTCACAATCCATTGTTGTTACACAAATATTTCATAATATGCAAAAAATTAGAAAGCTGACATTCTAGTTGTACATTCTACCTATCTGAATATTGGTAGTGCTCTCAGAACAATTCACCTCAGCTTAGAGACGCCCCCATACACTGATCTGAGTAGAGGTGCTCCGAACTGGGGTTCAGCGTCGCAGTCAAGATTATTGTGCTCACATCACAAAGCACATGTGGCTGCTTGTACTAGTCCGGACTAATGCCGGTTTCATAGGGCTAGCCCACGGAGATACCATGCTGCAATTTAATATGAATACCCCACTCAGACACAGTATACTGACTCCGAGCCGACCAGTCCTTGTTTTATCCCCTTAATGCCAAATGCCAGGCAACAACAAGTACCATTTTTTCTGTCTTTTGTCATGACACGGACAGGAGAGTGAACTATCGACCTTCCACTCTCTAGGAAGATGTTCTATCTACTACACCATGGAGGCGGTCCCATAGATTCAGGTTCTACATATATGATATATACATTTTTAATAAAACCTATCTGACTTCACCAAGTAAAACACACAAACTTAAAATGAGCATTCCCAAAGGAACAAAAGAGAACATCTTTGCAATGTTCATTATTGACTGTGGGTTCCTCTTTCCAAGAACAAGTTAGCAAATGCTTAATGAATTGATATTGTTCAGTCAACCTCAGTGGAAAAGAGAACTTGTGATGAAAGTGTTATTTTCTAGATTGTTACATATTTTTATATTCTGGTAGTAGCACTACAATAAAATAATCAAAACTGTGTAATGTTCAACCTAATCAAAGGGAGACAACCACCAATTGAGAATCAAAGGAAATTGATCCTGATTCATTAATGACTACAGCAGGCATTTATGCAGGATTCTAAACTAAGTGCCCTTTGTGAGGGAAACTGGGAAAACATTGTTATTTTGCACAAAATTGGGAATTGTTCTGAAGTATTTTTTTCAGAAGCATTTTCACATTGTAATGTGACACTGAATTCAAAGTAGTAACAGAAATTATAGAGGATCAAACTGTTCCAGGCTTTAAGAGGCTAAATGTAAACCCCAAGAGGTATACAGTAAAACAAACTAATTCTTAGGATATTCTATATCCATTCTCAGAATTTCTCAATTTGGACATCCATAAATACACAATAAAATATTCACTTATAGGGTGTTTTAACCTCCGAAAACATTCTGACAGATACAATATGTGATCCAACATAAAATATAGTAATTGCCATAAAAGTATTGTTGAAATAATACCATGTATATCCATGTCACACCAGGTTCATTTTTTAATATACTGTATTCGACATAATAAGCGACCAGGGCGCTCTCAAAATTAGAAATAGGGGTCTCTTATTAGAATATAATTTCGTGAATTTTGTGGTTTATGCTGACAGCCTGAAATGATACAAAAGTAAAGTCAGTGTGTATTATACACGACAGATATATTTTTCAAGAATGTAATTGCCCATAAATAAGGGTGCATATAACACACGAGTGTGTACTATACACGAATAAATAAGTCTTGTGTATATTGATCAATCGGAAGGAATTGGAATTGTTCACTAGCCAATATATTAGCAAATATCGCTGTGGGCGCTTATTAGAGCGGGGCGCTTATTACATCGAATTCGGTAGTTACTTTTCATCCTACATTGAACTGGTGTCAAAGATTTTGTATCCAGGTAACAAAAACTATAAGGCCTTATGAGTTCATAACTTACAAAACATATTTTCAGTAAAATATAACACATGAACACAAATGCGACCAATTTTCTACTCTCAAAGGCGTGGTCTCTTCACCGGAGGTCCACGAAACATTTTCTTTGGGGAGTCAACTTCCATTTGGCGCCCCAGACGGTCATTGATGTCGTTCTGACAACACTCCCATCTACTGTTGCCATAGTAACCGTTCATGGCCTCAGCCGTCAAAGTGTCAATTCCCTCAAGAATTATTCTCTCCAGGTGGGATTGAATCATATCAATGGCTAAATTTGCTAAATGTACATTGTTAAAAACAAACTTGACCATCTTGAGGCTGGAGGCCTTGCGTTCTGCCAGGTGCACGAGCAGCGCCTCGAAGAACACGTTGATGCAGGTGTCTTGTGGGTAAGAGCCTGAAGAGACAAAAACAATCATTGTCAGTATGTCGTGATCATCCCCAAATATGTGTATAAATTGTTATTACCCTCTCCAGAGACTGTAATATTTTTTGGTGACGGCCTGAATCCTTCTGACAATTTTTGTACATGTTTGTACTGTTATAAAAACTTCAAAAATTAATGTTGGTGACACAAAACATGCAATTGTTGAAATGAAATTCATATTAAAACAGCTGATTTTCAAACATGATTTTGAATTTTCTTAAATCCTGCAGATCTCATGGCAACACAAAGTTGATGATACTTTATCCTGGTATATGGACTACACATGCCACAAGTCACCTATGAGTTCTCCCTATGAGTTCTCCCTATGTGTTCTCCCTATGAGTTCTCCCTATGTGTTCTCCCTATGAGTTCTCCCTATGTGTTCTCCCTATGTGTTCTCCCTATGTGTTCCCCCTATGTGTTCTCCCTATGAGTTCTCCCTATGTGTTCTCCCTATGTGTTCTCCCTATGTGTTCTCCCTATGTGTTCCCCCTATGTGTTCTCCCTATGTGTTCTCCCTATGAGTTCTCCCTATGAGTTCTCCCTGTGTTATCCCTATGAGTTCTCCCTATGTGTTCTCCCTATGTGTTCTCCCTGTGTTCTCCCTATGAGTTCTCCCTATGTGTTCTCCCTATGAGTTCTCCCTATGTGTTCTCCCTATGTGTTCTCCCTATGAGTTCTCCCTATGTGTTCTCCCTGTGTGTTCTCCCTATGAGTTCTCCCTATGAGTTCTCCCTATGTGTTCTCCCTATGTGTTCTCCCTATGAGTTCTCCCTATGTGTTCTCCCTGTGTTCTCCCTATGTGTTCTCCCTATGAGTTCTCCCTATGTGTTCTCCCTGTGTTCTCCCTATGTGTTCTCCCTATGAGTTCTCCCTATGTGTTCTCCCTGTGTTCTCCCTATGTGTTCTCCCTATGTGTTCTCCCAATGTGTTCTCCCTATGTGTTCTCCCTATGTGTTCTCCCTATGAGTTCTCCCTATGAGTTCTCCCTATGTGTTCTCCCTATGAGTTCTCCCTATGTGTTCTCCCTATGTGTTCTCCCTATGAGTTCTCCCTATGAGTTCTCCCTATGTGTTCTCCCTATGTGTTCTCCCTATGTGTTCTCCTATGTGTTCTCCCTATGTGTTCTCCCTATGAGTTCTCCCTATGAGTTCTCCCTATGTGTTCTCCCTGTGTTCTCCCTATGTGTTCTCCCTATGTGTTCTCCCTGTGTTCTCCCTATGAGTTCTCCCTATGAGTTCTCCCTATGTGTTCCCTATGAGTTCTCCCTATGTGTTCTCCCTATGCGTTCTCCCTATGAGTTCTCCCTATGTGTTCTCCCTATGTGTTCTCCCTATGTGTTCTCCCTATGAGTTCTCCCTATGTGTTCTCCCTATGAGTTCTCCCTATGTGTTCTCCCTATGTGTTCTCCCTATGTGTTCTCCCTTTGTGTTCTCCCTATGTGTTCTCCCTATGTGTTCTCCCTATGTGTTCTCCCTGTGTTCTCCCTATGTGTTCTCCCTATGAGTTCTCCCTATGTGTTCTCCCTACCTGCATGAATGCCTACACAGAGTTTATGAAAATGAATAGCTGCATAAACAAGATTGGTTGGTTGGTTTTCTGCTTAACGCCGCACTCAGCAATATTCCAGCTATATGACGGCGGTCTGTAAATAATCGAGTCTGGACCAGACAATCCAGTGATTAATATCATGAGCATCGATCCACGCAATTGGGAGTCAGTGAGCCTGACCACCCGATCCCGTTAGTCGCCTTTTACGGCAAGCATGGGTTACCCTGACAGTAACGTCTAACATAGGCGGCCCATTGCGTTCTCCCTACCTGCACCAATACATGGAAACATGGCGGACTGAAGACCAAGCTTGTCATTGACATGGTTCAGACAGTTCAGATACGACTTCAGCAGCTTGTTTGTTGATTCCTTCTCATTGGCTGCCTCGTACATGGGTGTGGCCAATTGAACAATGTGACCCACCCGACCACTTAACGACCCCGATGCATATGTTTCTACCACTTCCGTTGTTTCTAGGGGCCCTCCATGCTGGCATAAGAAAAACTGGCACTGCTGGGTCATCATAGGTCCTGCTGCCGTGGCAACAGCACGAGCAGTTTCGTTCACATGAGTTAGCTGTCCATCTGTGGGATTAATCAAGGCATCGGTTCGTAACGTTGTGATGTCATCATAACAAATATGCACATTGGTCGTATCGGCAAGGAGAAAGGAGAACTTTTCTCCCATGTTTCTGAGCGTGGTTGTATGCCAGTCAGAAGTGGAAGGTTCCGGACTGCTTCTTGAACTGGCTTGAAATCGTTGTTCTGCAGTAGTATTAACCCGAGGGAGTTGCGACGTCCAGTGATTGTTATGGACTGTCATCCTGTCCTGCAAAGAATTTGTTCCACTAGTTTCCCCAGATACACTGGTCCTGACATCCCTGGAACCTCCAGCAGAACCTCCAGCAGAAGCTTCTGAAGGTCCTGTAGACTGACCCGAATTCCCCCTTCGGGGCAGAACTTGGGTAGTTCTCTGTTCTGTTGGACCACTACCCAAACCATTGCCAGGATTCTCTTCAAACATGTCAAACTTCTGTGACAGAGACCGGATAGCACCTGAAGATTCCCTCCCAAAACTTCCTGCAGAAAGGTCAGGATCAATGTTGGCCCTTTTGATTCCAGGTTTGGTAAGTGGAGATGGTTTGGGGTCGTCTCCCGGAACTACAGTTCTCTCTTTGGGTGTTTCAGCACTTGCGCTAAGGTCAGCACCAGTGTTAGAAGATGATGGTTGAAGATGGAAGTCTGTGAATGGTGATGTGTTTGAGTGTTCAAATTTGTTACTTTGATCCTGATCTGAGTTTTGATCAGCAGCACTAGCTGATGCCACAACCATCTCCTCATCATCTCCTTTGGGCTGCTTTTTCAACGTCGACTCTTCTAAAGTTTTCTGAACAACTCGACGCTGGTTTTGATCCACCTTTGCTGGTCTCTGAGGACCAAGCACCATATCACGAAGCTTCCGTCTGGCAAACGGTCTGTTCACTCCACCAGACTTCCTAACCGGAACAGTCATGGTCGGGTTCTCTTCTGGATCTGACTCAGGATCCATATCGTCGGCTTTCCGTTTCACCTGTTTGTTCGCGACAGATGTGACATCAGACCTGCCCATGGCTTCAGATCCATTGGTGACCAGATGAATGGGGACGGGTCTTGGGAGATGTTTTTTGTGACCATGGTTACCTGACGCTGGGGTTGCTGCTTGTGAGGTGTGCATTTTGGTGGTTTTTGTGTCATCATCCTCTCCTACAACAAGCCATATATCAGCATAATTAACAATGAAAGTAAAAGAAATGTATCTCTGCTGCGTCTCTACACGTATAGGTTAATGTAAAATGAATTCTCCAAGAATAGAACAAAAATTACATTCCATTTCCCGTGATTGGCTAAATCTGGTGACCAAACATTGCCCTTATTTTACATGTTTTACCCCAAAGTACAATTACGCATGATCAATCATTACCCATTTCTTGGTACAGGCGTGATGCAATTGTGAAGTCACTGTGCAAAAATATGCAAGCTTATTTTATAGCTTGAATAACCTACATACATGAACTTGAAATTTATGTTTCTACTTTGATACGTAATGTGAACAGGAAGAGGCGAGATAAGGTGAAATGGGGTTTAACATCCCACTCAAGATTATTGCACTAATATAGCGATATGCATTGCACATGTGTGTGTGGCTGCTTGTACTAGTCTGGACTAATGCCAGTCTTATTGTTGATAGTGCTAGTCCACTGACATACCATGCCACAGTGTAACATGAATACCCCACTCAGACACAGTATACTGACTCCGAGCCGACCAGTCCTTATTTTATCCTCTTAATTAATGACAAGCTCACGGCAGGGTAACACCGACAAGGGATCAAACCAGTGACCTTCTGCTCTCCATGGAGATGCCGCAGAGGCAGTTTACAGAATTTGAAAGATTTTGTCAACAAACTCCAGGGTATTCGTACCTTCACTCTCAGATGTGTCGATGATGCGGATCCTGTTTGGGAGGCTCGAGCTGGACCCACTAGAACGGTTGATTGTTTGATCCGACCTGTAACTGGACCAACCTGAGCGTGAATAGGATCCTGATGACCTATCCATGGACCCGGGGGAAGATCCCAAGTGAGACACACTTGACTCGTCTGATCTTGAGCAGCTGTGTGAGGCTACATCGCCTTCGCTGTTCCTTTCATCACCACTCAAATCTTCGTTGGCATCAACAAAACTTTCATCACTTGGTTCTGGAGTTTCAGGCAAGTGAGAACCTTCCTGCCTGGAAGTGGACTCTTCTTGGCTTGTATCCCTCCCCGAAGTAGACCCTTCCGGGCTTGATCCTGTTTCAGGTGTATATTCTGCTGGCCTTTCATCCCTCTGTGATGCACTCAGTCTCTGTTTGTTGCCTTTGACAGGTGAGGCCCCTTCTTGCAAGACAGACTTGTAATAATTGTAGGTGTTTTCTTCACCGTCGCTGTTTGGTTGGCTGGACTCGCCGTTTCCCATTCTTGTTTAGACTCGAACTCTGTGAACATGGTGAAAGCTTTTATTAAACATGCACACTCATACAAAAAAGAATGTATATTTTTTAAGAATGTGAAAGTGTTTGGTTCTAGCTTATTCACTTGATACTGGTCCCGTGAAGATTCCGGGTTAGAATTGGTCTTTAGCAACCCATGCTTGTCGTAAGAGGCAACTAATGGGAAGGGGTGGTCAGGCTCGCTGACTTAGTTGATGCATATAATCGTATCCCTATTGTGTGGATTGATGCTCATGATGTCAATCACTGGACTGTCTGGTTCAGACTTGATTATTTACAGACCGCCGTCATATAGCTGGAATATTGCTGAGTGCAGTGTTAAACAACAAACAAACCAACAAACAATAATGTGGGCTGGGAAATGAGTCCTAAATGGGTAGCCCTTTGTGGCCCCGTCCCTGAGTGGACATAAATGTATCACCCATGTGGGGCCAAGATGGGTTGTGTCCGTGTGGGGCGTTAAACAGTAAACAATATACAAACAAACAAAAAGAATGCTTAAGTAATTTTGGGAATACATCAGGCGTGCAATGTTTCAAAACTGCTGGGCAGGTGGGTATTTAAACACAGGTGAATGAGCATCATGTCATACCACTTTTTATGCTCTTTTAGCATTATTTCAGCACCAATACTTTGGGGAAAACCAAGGTTTTCACAAACTGCACCCAAACGTAGCACCACAAACTTTGGTGTGTACACACCAAAGTTTGTGGTGCGTACATGGTGTATGCACGAAACATTTTAACCACTAAAGTACCCCACACCCCAATATCCAAAAATTGATCTTGTGCTAGCTTTCATTACAGAGGCAGATCCCGGATTTTGAAGGAGGTGGGGGTGAGTACCCATATATACCAAATATAATAATACCCAAATCATGAAGTGACAGTTAACATGTAAGGTGTCTGGGGGGAAAAAAGGGGGTAGGGGTGTGTGTATGTGTGTATCTGCCAGTGCAACAATATTCCAAGATGTCCTGTAACCATGGTATCAGTCAGGTCTGAATAAGGGAAATCAGTGGTTGAAAGCATGAGCAATCATCCATGTAGTCAGGTTGTCATGGCAATCTGCCAGTTCACATATTGTATTTCTAATTCATAACCCTTCAATCCACATTACAGACTCTTACGACAAGCATCTACAAGTTACCGTCACCTCATCTGTTCATTATTCAATGTCATTTCATTCTATAACCACAAGCATGTTTAATATCATACACATACCTTAAATTTTATCTTGGGGTACTGCCCCCTAGTGATATCTAATCAGGCCCCGCCCCTCAAAGCGATCTTAGCGCCCCTCAATGCGATCTTAGCGCTACGATGAAGCGTAAGCTTATGTTGAAGTATGGGACTTACGATCACCTTAGCGCTAAGATTGCTTTGGGGAACGGGGCAGTTGCTCACTACAAACTACACTGTATGACTTGTGACTTTAATATACTGATTGATGTCCTCTTGGACTTGGACGAGTCCAAATTTACTACCCGGGTTCCAGCCCCCCCATTACCTGACCCTACCCGGGTACCTGCTGTAGGTCATAACTTGGGCACAAAATGTTTGGAATTGTTTTACCGGAGCCCTGCCAAAAAGTGTTCAGATATAGAATAAAATGATTGTGTTTACACTGAAGTTGACTGCAAGTCAGAAGGAATGTGCCCATAGTCAGAAAGAAATGCGAACATTAGCGACTTGTACTTGTGTAACCATGGAATTGTATTGTTATTGTCGTTTAACCATATATCACATGACTAACCACGGGTACGGGTAGTCCTGTGGGTACCCGAGTCCTACTCAGGACCCACCCAACCCAGGTACATGAGTTACCCGTCCCAGCCCTAAAGTCCTCTTCACGGTTGTACTGAACTGTACAAAGTCTAAAGGCTATCAACAGAAACAGTACTAGAGCTCATATTTATAAGATCTAGGCCTGCGGATCTTTGCTAGTATTTCTCTATTGTCACAACAACAAATAGCTGTGATATTGGTTATCTTCTACTCAACCGATCTGACATGAAATATTTGATGATCACAGAAAAACCGAAGCGAAAGTGGGTTTAAAACCTGTTTAGCAATCCGTGAAAGTGTTGCTGTCAGCCTAACGGTAACTCGATTGACGGGACCAGCTGCGGTCGACATATGTTCTGGTTAAATGATTTCCTTAAATTGGAAAATTACCTCTCAGTGTCCATGCATTTGGTACACGACTGCAGTTTGTAAACTTATCCTTCTTGTGACATACAAAACTTGAAAGTTAACAGTTTCTGACTTGCAGGTACGCGGAAGTAAACAACACGGAACGTCACTTCCGCGCATGCGTATTGCTGGATAACGGTGGCTGAGAAAGATGACATGTAAACAGATGGTTAACAGCTGGCACACATCACCTGACTCGTTAAATTACGAGGGACAAGGATCTAACATAGACTTCCAATATCAAGTTAGATATAAGTCGTTCAAAGGCTACAATAAAATTTCGGGAAAAGGGAAATCATTTTCCTTTACATGAGCTTAGATCTATATACTGATTAATTATGCTTTTACTGGGAAATATCGTCATATATAGTTGAAGTTTGCAAATAACCCCAAATTGTCACAGGACCAAGAAGAAGAAATTCCATATATAGACGTCGAATGATTTAAGTTACCAAAGTATGTTTTAGACGGACATTGCACCTATTTCAACGCAGCTGAGAAGACACATTAACAACCATGAGGTGAGGTGAGGTGAAATGGGGTTACGTCGCGTCCGAGATTATTGCACTCATATTGCGATGTTGCATGCACGTGTGTGTGTAGCTGCTTATACTAGTCCGGACTGATGCCGATTTATACTGCTAGCCCAATGAGATAACATGCCGCAGTTTAACATGAATACCCAACTCAAACTCAGTACACTGATTTCGAGCCGACCACTCCTTGTTGTAGCCCCTTTAATGTCGAGCGCCAGGCAGGGTAACAACAAGTACCATCATTTAACGTCTTTTGGTATGATGTGGCCGGGGATCGAACCCCGGACCTTCCGACCCCGCACAGTATGATTTGAAGAAGTGGGATCATGTTAGGGTACAGGCTAAAACGGCACCTAATTTGACGAAAACGGCTACTAATTGTCGGGCGAAAACGCCATCATTTAATAGGCGACCTCGTCTTCGGCGACACTGGACAGAATGATGTCAAACGAACTATTAAATATTTTTAATTAATTGTATAATCCCTAAAAGCTTAGAATATAATATTAATGTTATGTTACATCATGTTACCTATAACGGTGTTAACTCAATATTTTATAATCCCTTAAAAAGAGAAAAATAAAATAAAAATACATATAAACATATATATCCTGCGTTAGTCCCCTTCAGCAAGTTTTCAAGACGTGCGGGCAATTGATAAAATAATCGTGTTACGACCCCACGAATTGTAGATATCCTTGTACCATACATTGTAAAGATCCACTGACACGGAGCTTGGCGTCGTAAACAACAGAAGAGAACATGTAGGCTACCACTTGTGAGGATAAGTCACTTTAGTTCTTTTATGAGAGCTTCATTTAATTTCTCTACTTTCTTTGGTTTGTCCTGGTTAATCATCCGGGTTTAGGTCAGTGCATGGACAAGCACGTGGATGTAAGCAGAATATGACATGAACTTGTGTAGGGTGTAAAGGGCCCATAAAATTTGTAAGTATTAACAAAATATATAAGGAACAACATGTAAATCATAACTAGCAATGCTATAACAAATGTAAATGGTGTAAAAGGGTAAATTGCATGTTGAAAAGGTTGAAGTGTGTATCACAGATGTTTCGTTTAAAATCCGGAAAGTAATGTTGGTAATAACATGTATTTACTACCTTAGTTACAAGTTGTAATATTTCACATTTGTTTTTATTATAGCCTGTACCTGTCAACAATAGGCCTTACAATTAAAGGGCCAGTAAAAGAATTTGAAGGAACGACATAATACAAAATATCAGTTACAATGTTTCAAGACTTAATCAAGAATGTATTCATCAACCTATGCTGAAGTTATGAAATAAACCATTCAAGACAGTGTACTGAATTATGTGTCAATGGCCAAAGTGTATCACCCACAGAACATGTTCCACGTGCATTACGCAAATACAAACACAGAGTTCTGGTTTATTTTTCAAATATTTCCCACAGGTGAGAAAGTTTTGTCAAAGTCTAAAAGAAGGGATGTGTATTAAGTAGGAGAAGGTCCTCATGTACCTGTCCTGGCAGACAAATCAGCACATGTTTAGGTTGGAAAAATAATTGAGCTCTGAATATTAAAAAAATAATAATGGTAGTAGGTAGAAATACAAGGGCGTTTTTTTACGTATTTATTGCCATTTTACTTTTTGTCGAATTTTTATCGTGGAAGGTGACTTTTTGGATGCTTTTACACAGGTCTATGAAAAAACTTTTGCCTTAGTATTCTCCTTTAAAAATAAAATCGCCCGAAGCACCGAAACGGCTGTCATATTGAGATACCTATATGTATTGACACTGCTCGGCCATTTTTGTTCAACGTGGAGTTTGGTATTTATTTAGTGAATAGAGAGTCTCAAGATTTGATTTGATCTTTTCATTTCAACATACCGAAAGCTAAAATTTGTTATGGCTGTCACTCGGCAATTTCTTTGAAAATGCAATGGAATTTTGTATGTGTAAAATGCTAGAAAAATGCTTTACTATGTTTATCACAATTTTACCTGTAAATATACGTCTTTAGTCTGATCACAGTGACAGTAAGGGTAGGATAGATTAAGCAGATTTGCGTTATTTTGATATATGATATTTTTCATAGCCCTATGATTCGTATTTAATAAATGAAGCCAGAAAAGCAATTTTCTAGCATTTCCGACAGTACTTTAGTGGTAGTTAGAAGGTCGGGAGTTCGATCCCCGGCCGCGACATACCGAAATACGTTAAAAATGGTACTTGTTGCTAACCTGCCAGGCGCTATAAAACAATGAGAAAAAACTTGAATATTCGAGAATATAATTGAAATAACGATAAAAAAATCGAAAAAGCACCGCGAAGAAAAATTCAAGTAACAAGAAAATAATCGAAATTACGAAAATATAATCAAACTAACGAGACAATACTCGAAATGTTTGGAAAAATAAAATAAAATTGAAATAATGAGAAACTTCTATTTTAAACATGAAACAGATTCTCGTACTTTTGGGGGTTGAGTCCCGTCCGGGCTTCGAACCCACACTGCCAGAGGTGGCAGACTCAACCCCAAAAAGTACTAGTATCTGTACTTTACTAAGAAAGTGTTATCCCAAATATAACATTTGTTACGTTAAATCCCCAGGCTCCCAAGTATAGTGGTCTTACTTTTGTTGCTGGTGCTTTATAACCCTGGGTTGTTTTTTTAAAGTTATTTATATATAGTCATATCTTTTTATGGGATAATACTAGTTTTAAACACAAATCGGTGATAATCTAGATGTTTCTCTGTCCATCGTTGACAGGTTGTATATTATACATTCAAAATTTATTCTAGTTATGCTATGGCTGAAATACTGTCGATGTCACTTTACATTTTAACTAACTCACTCTCTTACCCTTCAAGACCCCCCCCCCCCCCACACACACACACATGCACACCCCCCCCCCCCCCCCCCCCCCCCCATGGGTACTGACGATATCGTTAACACAGGGCATTTAGATTAATGCAGAATTTGGAAATTTGTTTTCCAAAACCAGTAAGAATTATTTTCACAATAAGAACTCCTGGTTCTATTAAATACTAAAATACTTTAAATACATATTATTTGTTCTCCTGGTATCAGTATCTGGCGCCTTTTTTGCGAAAATCACAACCAAAACCTGAAAAATTGCATCTTCCCGAGGCAAGTGTATTTACTGACCATAAAACTGGATTTTTACAGTCAGTTATCTCCCTTGCCCCATGAAGATGGGGAAGATGAGGCGATTATGACAATCAAGCAGTCATTGTGGCCCACAGACGAGAAATAAGAAAGTTATATCTGTACAAAAGTCACAGAACGTTTGAGACTGGTTCCCTGATTATCCGCTTGGTGTCGCTTCTCTCCCTTCCAAGGGAAGTCCCCGTATGTTGGACGGACGGGAACCAGTCTATGGAACGGTCATATCAACCACCGTTATAAACCGCCTGTGATGTCATCCTATTCTCCAGGCGGATTAAATTTCATAAACAGGGATGTTATAATATCCCCGGGATTTTATTAATACAACTTCCGTTTATATTGTAACATAAGTATGTTTCTATCGAGACATGTATTTTGCATTTGAACACCTTTTCATGAAATGTAAAATCAAATGACAAATGTTTTTCTTTACATTCCCCCGGATCGAACATGCCACCTTCGTATCTGTGGACGCCCAGTGAGTGTACCCCAAGGTCACAGAGAGGCTAATAAATCACAATACTTTTAAGAATGTCTTTTTCGTACGCCAGCAACAGACATTTTACGCCCGTTTCCTACGGCTCATGGGAAGTATGTTTGAAATATAAAAATGTTGATACATGTTGTTTCAAGTTACATTTTTTCGGTTTATTAGTCAGATAAAACACTTACCCCGGGTTTTTTTTAGATTTAATACCCTCATTCTCGGGATAAAACTTCCGGGCTGACACGCCCCTCGGTTTGATCCCTTGGATTCGGTTTTTAAATCTCGTAAAAGCCCTCTGACGTGTTTTATCCTACACTTATATGTACAGCCATGGCAAACGATAAAGCTACGATGCATGCGCACACCATCAGAGTGCAATGACACAATCCGACATGTGACGCATTCACTAGGCTCCTGTCTATCTTACTGGGGAAAAAAGTTCAACTATAACAAACAGATTAAAAGCCAAATTTAAAGCCAGTTTATGTGACACACTGGCCATGCGACCTTCGACATAGCCATTAACATTACAACATAAGATATAAGTTCATATTTGTTAAATTGGCCTGAAAGCATAATGAAAAAGTAGCCGGAAAAAGTATCATATTCAGCCTTTCAAAACCTCTCTCTCTCTCTCTCTCTCTCTCTGTCTCTCTCTCTCTCTCTCTCTCTCTCTCTCTCTCTCTCTCTCTCTCTCTCTGACGGTAGACCCGATATAACCTCACCTCACATCACCTCCATTATCTCAGGTCATTATATCTCATTATAGTTTGATAAATATTTTGCTGTTCCCTCCGTCATGTTTCGAACGATGCTCAAACGACGTCAACCCATACTATCGAACCAAATCATCTGGTAATAATTATCTCTTGGATGAAGGATGCCCCATATTCACTCTTTGTCTACGCTCAGCGATAGGGCAGGGCCATAACCTGAATGTCGAGTAGGTATGCACAGCCGCATTCAACAACCATTAACAAGCAGCTCGATGATAGCCCTGACATCTGTTGACTCCAAAGGGTTAATTGTTTATTACCCTTGGGAACCTCTTTTACAAAGTGCATGCATGGTCTCATTTAGTTCGTGACGGGAAAAACAGACGTTTTAAAACGCGAGTGCCTCTTGACACTATCAATAGTTTTCACCATTTCACTGAAATACCTGGGTACATCATGACAGTGTGCTGTTGCTTCCATGACTTGTGAACCTACGATGGGCCAATTCTGATTTCCGACCACTTAACGGTGAGTGAATCAATGAGGGGCATTGAGTAAGTGAGTGCGTCTGTGCGGCCATTAGCAATATTCCATCAATATCACGGGGTTGTGGTAGTGGTGATGGGTGGGTGGGTGGTGGTTGGTTTGTGGAACGCTTCAACTACCTTCAATAAAATTCAAGTATTATTCTACCAGTTTAACCCCAAGAATGACTACACATCTAAATATGACATTCGGTACACTCGTCATGCTTATTTATGCTTGTTTAATAATGACTGATCATTCCGCTTCCTGGTTTCATCAAAACAGTTCACATGCCACTTCATTTAAGTATTAGAATTCTCGGCAGTCAACGTCTTCACTTCGAACTGATCTAGTTCCCAGGCGTCAACATCCCCATCGACAATATGAGGATACAGAAGGAAATGTAGTAGGATGTGTAGCATATTGAAATAAAAAGATAACTGAATTATACATGTCACTTGGTATAATCTACAGGACCGCAAGTGAAACACCACCTGTACAAGTACTATACACGCCTGATTAACCGCCTCCGAGGTCTTGTGGATAGATCATTTGCTTGCAGAGTGGAAGGTTTGTGGTTCTATCCTTGGTCGCTTCATACCAAAAGACTTAAAAGATATATCTGTACTCGTACCCTTCCTGGCGCTCGACATTAGGGGACCAGAATAACCACTGGCTGGCTCGTAGTCAGTAGAATGACTGTGTCTGAATAGGGTATCATTGTTAAACTGCGGCAAGGTAGCTCAGTGAGAATGCTCTTAGAACCAGCATAAGTCCGGGCTAGTACAAGCAACCACACAACCACACGTACATGCACGTCACTATTTGAGTGAAATAATCTTTAACGCAACGTTAAACCCCATTTCACCTCTCCTCACGCGACCCGTGAAGATCCGGGTAAAAATAGGTCTTCAGCAAACCATGCCTACTATAAAAGGCGAATACGCTTGTCGTAAGAGGCGACTAACGGGATCGGGTGGTCAGACTTGGTTCATGATGCATTTCATCGTATCCCAATTGCATGAATCGATGGTCATGATAACAATCACTGGATTGTCTGGTCAAGACTCGATGATTTACAGATCGCCGTCATATAACTGGAATATTGCTGAGTGCGGCGAAAAAAAATCGCCCCACGCACCTGATGCGCACCAGCCTTGTCTTTTCTGAGGCCTCAGTAGTTGAAAAATAATGAAAACGGGGTTAGGACCTAGATCACTCGGGCTGCCGTCTACTGTATACACCGTGCGTCTCCCCAAGGCTGTCGGGGATAACATCCTGTTTATCAGAAATTGACGTCCATTTAACACGTTTATGAATCGGTATTAGAATTGTAAGTAAACACAAGCTTTCTTTTTCAGTATATAAAGTAAACTCTGGATACCCCATAGGATCCCGATCCCAAGCAACCTATTGTGGTCGTAAAAGGCGTCTGAAAGGTTCATTTAGTCAGTCTTGGTGACTTGCTTGAAAGCATGTTATCCGACAGAGTGAATCGCCGTTCATAATATCAGTTTGCTAGATGGTCCAGATTCGATTATTTACAGACCGGCGTCACATAGCTGGATTTTTGATGAGAGCGCCGTTAAACAACAAACATACCAATAAAAAATGTCGTGAATACGTCAACTCCATTTCCCCCAGGTGGTTTTAATGCAGTTTGCCCCTAATTGATACCGTTCTTCGAATAAAATGTAGACGGATATAGAGACAGGCTATGTTAATGTAGTCAACAACGTGTCAGGGTAGTATTTAAAGCAATTGCTCCGTTGAATAACTAACTTCGGTGGAAGGAACTGATTTTGAAGATGACTTGACTGTATTCGGAGAGGGAATGTGTGTGTTGTGGTTCGGATGCTTTTTGCAATATTCCGCCATCACACGAGGCTGACACTTAAAATGGACGTGCAATACTGTATCCGTGTGGAGGAATCGAACCCCGATCTTTGTCTTAACGATCGATCACTTTAAACACAAGCCTTTCAATCGCCCCGTCACATCCGGATTTGAATGTTATATGAATAGATGTATAGGTTAGTGAGCGAGTTGGGTTTAACACTGCCTATAAAATTTTTGTAGATATATCTACCCCGTGATTCAAGGTGTACACGTTTCCATACGGGAAACAAACGAGCACGGGTACTGTGCGGACAAAACAAAGATCATAGTCGGAAGAATATTGGATTCGAACACACGAATATCGGATCCTGGCACGGCAAAGGGACGCAACTCTGTATATATGTGTACAGAATTTGGAAGTAAATTAAGTCCAAATTGAAGTTTGATAGCCCTGCAGCTGGAAATTATCCATATGGGTACCCGGTGGGATGAAGTAGTAGTGTGAATGTGAATGCAAACTGACAGCTGTATTGTATATTCCCCTGAGATAATCTTTGTCTGTTTGTTGTTTAACGCCGCACTCAGCAATATTCCAGCTATATGACGGCGGTCTGTAAATAATCGAGTCTGGACCAGACAATCAAGTGATTGACATCAGGAGTATCGATCCACGTAATTGGGATCGATGACGTGCATCAACCAAGTCAGCGAGCCTGACCACCCAATCCCGTTAGTCGCCTCTTACGACAAGCATAGTCGCCTTTTACGACAAGCATGGGTTGCTGAAGACCTATTTTAGCCCGGATCTTCATGGGTCCTGAGAGAATGTAACTTGCGTGTACAGCATACCGTGCACATCACACAACGCGATGTTGCAATTTATGACATAGCTCACAACGTCTATCTCACTGAAGCTGTAGATTGCCTCAAGAAAAGGTTGGACATCCCCGGTGTGAAGTAGAAACCTCCCTAGCCTGTCCGTGTCGGTTCTGCCTCTCTGTGCCGAGGGAATATCTGACAAAGGGGTTTGGAATATTCCGGGGGCTGCTTGGTTCATTAATTCTAGTCATCCGTCCAGGTAAGTCACTGTATTTTCATTCCCCCGTCTTTCTCCCACTGTGTGACACACTCTCATTAAATGCTTGCACGTATGCGCGGAACATGTATCCAATCCAGGTCAACGTGTGCTTGCAAGTACTTGTCTTAAACATGTCAGGAGCTTGCAGGTTGAAGACCAAGTCATCGACACAGATTGATAGAGTCAGACGGTTGCAGTTACCTTGTCTATCTCACATACATCCGAGCATATTGTAAAAAACATTCACTCTCATTTCATTCTCACCCCTCCCCCACCTTATAGCCTGTACTCAACACCTTTTTACCTCTAGGAAAAAGACTGGGGGCTCCTTCTTACTCGAGGCTTCCGCTATAGAATCATCTCACCTTATGGATCAGGACAGTATGTTAATTCAGAGTCGTTATCATTTATCAACAAGAACGAAATTGCATTGTCACGAGAAATGACAGAATGAATTATAGCCGTGTTATGCTTAAACGCGTCTCTTGTTTTTAAATTTATTTCCTGGCTTCTGTTAACGTAAACTAACGTACAGCCCCAGCAATAAAATTACGTATTAGGTTAAATACTGATATTTCACAAAGAAACGTGGCGTCTTCTGGAGATAGAATGGGGATGAGGAAGTGGTGTTAGAACTGTGAAGGGGTGAGCGGGGAATGAGGGTGAGTGTTTTTATTTAATTTATACTCTGGCGCCTTGAGAGCCAACTGTTATTGCTAACCGCCTGTCGCCCATGTGTTTTGCCCGTGGGTAATTACAGCAGGGTCTTGAAGCGTGGGGATGACCCAGGCGCTATCAGTCTGAAGGACATGTGGTTCTTATAATCTGTCAGATCCGAAGAATTTATTACTGAGATTATATTTATAATAAATAATACCGTAGTTATTTGGGTCAATCTGATGTTCTATAAGTGATAAGTCGATCTTCGAACAAGATTGTGGTGAACACATCAGCGTGAAGGCGAGGCGCGGGGCATCAGTTGGGTGTTGAAGTATTTTGGATAGAGTCCGGGCACCGATCCACAAGGTGACCATCAAACCAACCTGGTCCTGCATTGTGACCATCCGATCCTCGTTTTACTTACGACTTAACGTATGTAGCTCTTGTTCATTATCATCATAACCAAACAAATACATGGTAAACTAATGATGAAATACTGCTTAGAATTTACGACGTCAGAAATAATGATGCTTCTCCTACATGACAAGATCACCCGAAAATTGCCATGTTCCTCCTCCTACATGACTTTCCTCATATGATATGACGCTCCTTCTTTATGCCATGACTCTCCTCTACATGACTCTCCTCCTACATTACAGGACTCTCCTCTTACATGACATAACGCCTCCTATATGCCCTGACTCTCCTCCTCCATGACATAACGCCTCCTATATGCCATGACTTTCCTCCTCCATGACATAACGCCTCCTATATGCCATGACTCTCCTCCTACATGACATAACGCCTCCTATATGCCCAGACTCTCCTCCTCCATGACATAACGCCTCCTATATGCCCTGACTCTCCTCCTCCATGACATAACGCCTCCTATATGCCCTGACTCTCCTCTTACATGACATAACGCCTCCTATATGCCCTGACTCTCCTCCTACATGACATAACGCCTCCTATATGCCCTGACTCTCCTCCTCCATGACATAACGCCTCCTTTATGCCATGACTCTCCTCCTACATGACATAACGCCTCCTATATGCCCTGACTCTCCTCCTACATGACATAACGCCTCCTATATGCCCTGACTCTCCTCTTACATAACATAACGCCTCCTATATGCCCTGACTCTCCTCCTCTATGACATAACGCCTCCTTTATGCCATGACTCTCCTCCTACATGACATAACGCCTCCTATATGCGCTGACTCTCCTCCTACATGACATAACGCCTCCTATATGCCCTGACTCTCCTCCTACATGACATAACGCCTCCTTTATGCCACGACTCTCCTCCTACATGACATAAAGCCTCCTATATGCCATGACTCTCCTCCTTTATGCCATGACTCTCCTCCTACATGACATAACGCCTCCTATATGCCATGACTCTCCTCCTCCATGACATAACGCCTCCTTTATGCCATGACTCTCCTCCTACATGGCATAACGCCTCCTATATGCCCTGACTCTCCTCCTTTATGCCATGACTCTCCTCCTACATGACATAACGCCTCCTATATGCCATGACTCTCCTCCTATATGCCCTGACTCTCCTCCTACATGACATAACGCCTCCTATATGCCCTGACTCTCCTCCTCCATGACATAACGCCTCCTATATGCCCTGACTCTCCTCCTACATGACATAACGCCTCCTATATGCCCTGACTCTCCTCTTACATAACATAACGCCTCCTTTATGCCCTGACTCTCCTCCTCCATGACATAACGCCTTCTTTATGCCATGACTCTCCTCCTATATGCCCTGACTCTCCTCCTACATGACATAACGCCTCCTATATGCCCTGACACTCCTCCTACATGACATAACGCCTCCTATATGCCCAGACTCTCCTCTTACATGACATAACGCCTCTTATATGCCATGACTCTCCTCCTTTATGCCATGACTCTCCTCTTACATGACATAACGCCTCCTATATGCCCTGACTCTCCTCCTATATGACATAACGCCTCCTTTATGCCATGACTCTCCTCCTACATGACATAACGCCTCCTATATGCCATGACTCTCCTTCTTTATGCCATGACTCTCCTCCTACATGACATAACGCCTCATATATGCCATGACTCTCCTCCTCCATCACATAACGCCTCCTTTATGCCATGACTCTCCTCCTACATGGCATAACTCCTCCTATATGCCATGACTCTCCTCCTTTATGCCATGACTCTCCTCCTACGTGACATAACGCCTCCTATATGCCCTGACTCTCCTCATTTATGCCATGACTCCCCTCCTACAAGACATAACGCCTCCTATATGCCATGACTCTCCTCCTCCATGACATAACGCCTCCTTTATGCCATGACTCTCCTCCTCCATGACATAACGCCTCCTTTATACCCCGACTCTCCTCCTACATGACATAACGCCTCTAATATGCCATGACTCTCCTCCTTTATGCCATGACTCTCCTCCTACATGACATAACGCCTCCTATATGCCCTGATTCTCCTCCTACATGACATAACGCCTCATATATGCCATGACTCTCCTCCTCCATGACATAACGCCTCCTATATGCCATGACTCTCCTCCTACATGACATAACGCCTCCTTTATGCCATGACTCTCCTCCTACATGACATAACGCCTCCTATATGCCATGACTCTCCTCCTTTATGCCATGACTCTCCTCCTATATGACATAACGCCTCCTATATGCCATGACTCTCCTCCATGACATAACGCCTCCTTTATGCCATGACTCTCCTCCTCCATGACATAACGCCTCTTATATGCCATGACTCTCCTCCTTTATGCCATGACTCTCCTCCTACATGACATAACGCCTCCTATATGCCCTGACTCTCCTCCTACATGACATAACGCCTCCTTTATACCATGACTCTCCTACATGACATAACGCCTCCTATATGCCATGACTCTCCTCTTTTATGCCATGACTCTCCTCCTACATGACATAACGCCTCCTATATGACATGACTCTCCTCCTCCATGACATAACGCCTCCTTTATGCCATGACTCTCCTCCTACATGGCATAACGCCTCCTATATGCCCTGACTCTCCTCCTTTATGCCATGATTCTCCTCCTACATGACATAACGCCTCCTATATGCTATGACTCTCCTCCTTTATGCCATGACTCCCCTCCTACATGACATAACGCCTCCTATATGCCATGACTCTCCTCCTCCATGACATAACGCCTCCTTTATGCCATGACTCTCCTCCTCCATTACATAACGCCTCCTTTATGCCCTGACTCTCCTCCTACATGACATAACGCCTCTTATATGCCATGACTCTCCTCCTTTATGCCCTGACTCTCCTCCTACATGACATAACGCCTCCTATATGCCCTGACTCTCCTCCTACATGACATAACGCCTCCTATATGCCATGACTCTCCTCCTACATGACATAACGCCTCCTATATGCCCTGACTCTCCTCCTTTGTGCCATGACTCTCCTTCCATGAGTGAGTGAGTGCGTTGGGTTTAACGTCGCTTTTAACAGTATTCCAGAATTATATATTGCGGCATGTCATCTTAATGTTGGAGGGAAGCCCGAAGTAATACAGGTCTCAGGCGTTTACCACTTCGGTGAAAGCCACGAGCACGGGTATGGTGCTAGCAAACCAAGAAACATAATTGAGGCGAACCGGGATTCGAACCCACAGTCATAGGTTTCTGGCTTGCCCAAGGGACGCAACTCTGCACAGCGAATTGCGGCGCCTTAGACGACTGGTCCAACCGTGTCCCCTTAAAAAATAGAACAAAAAAGATGACGCGGGTTGATGCCGTGCAATAACTCCATTTCACTTGACCTCTAACAGTGAAATGATGCTGCTGTCTATGCACGTCAATTTAACATGAACATTTTATTTCCTGCAATGTGCAGTTGAATTAGTGCACAAAACAGTTTTAATAACATTTTGATTACTAAGCAGAAATGTATGAGTCATAATAGTTCATTTTAACTCACCTGGCTGACAGTCGAGTGAGCTTTTGTCATTGTGCGTTGTCCGTCGTCTGGCTGTTGATAACTTTACTTTTCCGACATCTCCTTGGAAACTACTAGGTCCAGGAAACTGAAACTTAGCATAACTTATCCCAGCAATGGTGTCTCTGAATGACCAATAAACTTCCGATCTCATTTTAAACATGGCCGCCACGACAGGCATATTGAAAATGTCATTTTTGCCAATTACTGTTATTTCTGCATGCATGATATTATTTGGCATGTAGTATGCGAAATAACATATATACTGAACCAAATTAAAAACTTCACAATCCTAAAATTTTAACATTTTCGCCAGTTATCATTGTGGGCCCTTATCGTGTATTTAAACAGTAATGGCCACGTATTCTCTTCAGATAACACCCGTTTTTGTGCAGGTGAATCGATCAAAATCATGTGCACAGCACTAAAGTGGCAAAAGTGGTTTTTCACGTGCAACTGGTCACGTGGCCATAATACCGCACGTGTTTTCAGCCATACTTGTTAGCAGTCATTAACAAAAAAAGAAAAACACAAGAAAACAAAAGTCTTTACGGCCATTTGTCATGCCACGCCATTCAAATGTGCAACGTGAACGTGCCATCGGCATGTTGCAGACGGGAACGTCCGTAGCTGAAGTCGCAAGGACGATGGGTTGTAGTCGACGGACTGTTTATGATTTACAGACGCGTCTACAGCAAACGGGTACCACCGCTGATCGCCCTCGGCCAGGTCGACCACGTGTGACGTCACATGCAGAGGATCGTCACCTCCGTAACCGATTTTTGACGGCAACATCAACCAGAAATGAACTGTTTAGGGGTAGACTGAGTGCGCAAACTGTTCGAAACCGTCTGAGAACTGCTCACCTTCAAACACGACGGCCATACTGCGGGCCGATTCTGACTCAATTACACAGACGTCAACGTCAATTGTGGGAACAGCGACACTTACGATGGATTCAGAGGAATTGGAATCGAGTCGTCTTCAGTGATGAATCCCGATTTAATCTTCGATTTGCTGATGGTAGGGCGAGGGTGTGGAGGCGCCGTCATGAACGTTACGCCAAGTGTTGTGTACAGGAGGCGGAAGTGTCATGGTGTGGGTTGCTTTCTGTGGCAATGCACGTTCCAGGCTTCTTGTCATCCGTGGCAACCTCAACGCCGCTGCTTACCCAGGTACTGGCACCAGAACTTCTGCCTTTTATGGCAGGACATGGACCCGGTTTGATCTTCCAACACGACAATGCCAGACCCCACACAGCAATTTTGACAAGGAATTTCCTTCAGAATGCGGGAGTCAACGTCATGGACTGGCCGTCAAGGTCTCCCGACCTCAATCCCATCGAACACGTCTGGGATGCTCTTGGCAGAAGTCTGCGCACTCTCCAGAACCAACCACAGAATTTGCAAGATCTTAGCACCATTTTGCAGCAACAATGGCGTCGTCTTCCCAATCATGTGTTCACAAGCATCACAAGGTCCATGCGGAGGCGTTGTGTGGCAGTTGTCAACGCACATGGTGGCCATACACGCTACTGAACTTGTGTGCCATCAGATTCTCGTGCTTGGGACTTATGATTTAAACGGTTGATGTTATTACCGAATACCGTAGGTGCTTTGAACAAATTATGGTTACCACCGTCAATTATAATCCTTCTTTGGACATTAATGATTAATAATTACCTTCTCTGATACATTTTTCCGTTGTATATCATATATATGGGATTACTTTTAAAAATGTGAAGTTTTTAATTTGGTTCAGTATATCACGTATTTGTGACATAGTTGGATTTTGTTTGTGTTAGTGTTAATGTATTTTCGACATCTCCTCTGAAACCACACGGCCAATTGAGCTGACACTTTGGGTGCAGGATCCCAACTGTAGTGTGACTAGTGTCCCTAAATGCTCACAGAATTCTGATCTGATTTTAGGTATGGCTGCCACAAAAGACTATCTCTTTGCAGAATTTCCCGACATTGAGTAGCATGTTTTAGTCATGAAGGTCGATGTTGTCTCAACTAATCCCTCATTAATCATTTCTCCATAAGTGTAACAAATGGGAGACAACCAAACACCACACAGACGAGTGAGTGAGTATGGTTTTAAGACCCTTTTAGCAATATTCTTCGGCGTGGCGAGCGAACGCTTTAACCACTAGGCTACCCGACCGCCCCACACACAGATAATCCCTTTGTTGTGGCCTTACCTGAAACATAATCGCCGACAAACAAACAAAACAATCCTTCTGCAAACATGAACTATAAACCCCCAACAAACACGCCACACACTTTGTTCTTCACAGAACCTATCTCCACCAGGATGCGGGTCGAGGCCCTTGTGTTGCCGGTGTGTGCAATCCTATCTTTGACGTCAGCCGGTAAGTCGTGGACATTTGCATAATTATTTATGTTAACGCAAAAAATATATTGCATTGCTGTAGGCTTCAGGCGTTTATTATTGTTTAGTTGGTTCACACAAGATTTGACCGTAATTCAATGTAGGTGGTAAAAAACATTCATAATTTTCAACTTTCAGATAAGTATTGCTATTTATGAATGAAAAAAGTTTTATCATGGCAAGACACTGAAGGATAATTTATTGTTGTTTTTTTTTGTTAGAATAAAGATTTGTATAATTATTTATTATCCACTTTTTCTTACACCCAGCGATGATAAAATCTTGTATATTTTTCATTTCACCTTGTTCAAACTTGATTCAAGTGGTTATTTTATCGGTCGGTCTCCTAAACCAAGTAAAATATACGAGGCCCCATGAAGGTAAAATACATAGGGAGCAGTTCAACAGTTTAATGTCGAATTTGAAAAGAAAATGAGTGAGGGAGTGAGTTGGGTTTTACGCCACTTTCTGCAATATCACTGCTGGAGACCCCAGAAATAGTCTTCACACGTTGTACTCATGTGTTAATCGAACAAGGGCCTTTGGCGTGGCGAGTGAGCGCTTCAACCACTAGACTACCCCATCGGCTTGTTGTGCTCAGAAGTGACACCCCGTGAACGTTCGTTCCGGGATACAATAGGTCCTCACCACAGCATGCTTGACATAGGCGTCGAGAGAAACAAGGATCTGGTGATTATAGTGTTGGATCTGACTGATTGCGTCTTATCATACGCCGACTTCAGGGACCTTTGTTCATGCTATCATCCACGGATCTGGACCAGGCTGTATTATTTACATTCCTTCGTGATGAAACTAGAATGTTTTTCACTGCGGCGTTAAACAACATTCGTTCTAGTACTGCACTGTTTGCAATGAGTGAATGTCTCGGAAATAAAAATAGCAATTATTTTATTGTTCAGATGGGGAAGAATGGGTGACGATGGCGCAGAAGACGCTGATGGAGTCCCTCCAAATGAAGCCGAACACCAACGTTGCCAAGAACGTCATCTTCTTCCTGGGTGATGGGATGGGCGTGTCCACTGTAACGGCAGGGAGGATATACACGGGCCAGACAGAAGGGAACACGGGGGAGGAGACGGTTCTGTCTTTTGAGAAGTTCTCCAATGTGGCCCTGTCTAAAGTTTGTAAAATTACTGTCCGATATATTTATTTGATTACTTCGTAAATGGATTAAAACTAATTAAAAGAAATAAGAAACATAAATTGTCGGTTTGGTGAATGAACGAACAAGTATTTACGATACAAACAAACTTCTCCTACACTGAAGTAAGTCAACAGTCTGGGCAGGAATTTAGAAAGAAAAAAAACACTTTCTGAAAATATTAATTCTATTTGTGAAATTTTGGTTCCCGGATCCGTATTGAAGGTTATTGGAAAAAGGGGTTCACATTAAGGTACTTTCGATATTATCCGTCGTGTTTTCGTATAAACGCGGCCTCGGATAATTATTAATGACAATTAAGGCCTTAGAACCAGCCTTTGCAGTGCATCACTTTGAGAGCTATTGGGGGCCCCGTCGAGATTCCGGCGCAGAATATATCCCAGAAGCCCTTGCTTGCCGTGGGATCAAATATAATGAGGATCGTGAGGACAGAATGGGTGACGATTGCGTGCCATCGTGCCCTGACAGGGTGGCTCTTTCGCAGGTCACAGGTCACAGAACTCAGGTGAGAATCGGTCCCCGGTCCCCGGTCCCAAGCAGTGTATTGTGGTCGTCAGAGGCGACTAAGTGGATCGGGTGGACAGGTTCGGTGACTTAGTGTGTTGTGTGCCACCGTACCCAAACGGCATAGCCATCACAATATCAATCACTGGAATGTCTGGTCCAGATCTGATTATTTACAGAACACCGTCATATAGCTGGAATCTTGCTGAGTGCGGCGTTTAAACATACCCAAACAAACATGAAAACGCCGGTCACACACCCATCACACCCGACGCTCTGTTTTCAGACATATAACGTAGATCGTCAAACAGCTGACTCGGCAGGAACAGCCACGGCCTTCTTGTGTGGGGTCAAGGCCAACTTGGGAACTCTCGGGGTCAGCGAGAGTGTGGCGAGAGAAGACTGTGATGCACAGGATGCTGGGAAGGTCGAATCTATCCTCAAGTGGTCTCTTGATGAAGGTATGCTTGAAGATCTTCCGTTGCACTAATCTTCTGGCATTTATAACTGGTGCTGGCCCACCAAAGATCATTATCATATCCTGAACAATCTTACCGTCATAGAGAATAAATAACTTACATCTCACACCTCGGCAGTGTTAAAGATCAGCCTCTTATACAGCTAGATGTTTACAGCATCAACTGTCCGGGAGACAAGGTTTTCCGGATTAAAAGGGTTCACTGTGTATGTATTGAAAACCATGGGTAATATCTGACACTGGCACTGACGTCAGTGTTGACGTCACTTCTGTTAATAGCCAAGGCTCTCACATATATTATTCGTCAATGTGTGAGTATGGGTTTACGCCGCTTTTAGCAATATTCCAGCAATATCCTGGCGGGGGACACCAGACATGAGCTTCACACATTGTACCCATGTAGGGAATCGAACCCGGGTCTTCGGCGTTTCGAGCGAACGCTTCAACCACAAGGCAACCCATCGCCCTAATTCGTCAATGAGAAATGACAGTTTAATGTACTTTTGTCAGGAAAGGCAGCCGGCATCGTGACCACTGCCCGTGTGACACACGCCACCCCGGCAGCCGGATACGCCCACTCGGCAGAGAGAGACTGGGAGGGGGACGCAGACACCACCAAGAGTAACGTCACAGGGAAGTGCAAGGACATTGCTCAACAGCTTGTGGATAACCTTGACCTTCAGGTAAAACAACATCCGGTAAACGACACCCATGTGTGTGTGTGTTAAATTAAGTGTTAAATGGGGTTGTTTGTGTGTGTGCGCGCGGTGTTGCAATCTCATTAAGATCCGGTACGAGTCGATACCTGTGTGTGAAGATTTAACCAACCCTCAACCCTCAGGTCACGTCAGTTGTGTGTGTACGTGTTGTGTGTGTGTGTGTGTGTGGGGGGGGGGGGGGGGGGTGTTGTTGTGTGTATGGTGTGGATGTGGACGTGTTGTGTGTGTGAGTGGTTTACTTGTGTGAATGTGGTGTATGTCTAGTGTGGATGTGTGTGGGCGTGTTGTGTGTGGGGGGGTGGGGGGGTGGGGGTGGGTGTCGTGTTGTGTGTATGGTGTGGATGTGTTGTGTGTATGGTGTGGATGTGCACGTGTTGTGTGTGTGAGTGGTTTACTTGTGTGAATGTGGTGTATGTCTAGTGTGGATGTGTGTGGGCGTGTTGTGTGTGTATGGTATGTGTGGGTGTGTTGTGTGTGTGTGCGGTTTGGGCGTGTGTGTGGTGTGGTGTGCGTGCCTGCGCGCCTCTGTGTGTGTGTGAGAGATGGTTCCCAGAAATGACAGGGTGTATAAAATATCCACAACAGTATAATAGCGCGGCCACTATTATTTTCATTCTGAACTGCCCGATACAGAAATCAGATAATGTGCTCTGAATGATTCGCTCGTACCGGGAATTTAGAAACCTCGACGCCGATTGTCTGAAAGTTTTCCTGACACGACGTCCTATGGACAGGTATCACCTCCAACTAATATATCCTTTTCAATATGTTCAAGATTGCATCCTGTTGGGAAACGAGTTATGAAATACCACAAGGTCTAATTATACAGTACATTTAGAATCCCATTACTTCCTAAGTAATGCTTACCGTAACATGTGTGGCACTCACCCACTCACTCACTCACTCACTCTGTCTTCCAGGTGGTGATGGGAGGGGGGCGCCGCTACTTTCTGCTCAACAACCAGACAGACCCGGAAACTGGAGAGATCGACCCCAAACATAGGGCTGATGGACGTGACCTGATTAATGTAAGAATCGCCATGTCATAAGACTGGTTCGCGACTCTCTCTGCGCTGCTGACTGTTGGCGTTTTTACGAGCGTTTCGGGGTAGTGTTGATTTTACACATTGAATACACCTTGACCCGGCTCACAACTTCAATTCAGAAACTAACCCGTTAATCACGCCCGCTTGGTTGTTTTTCAAAAGCCATCTTTTAAAGGTGTTATTTAGTCAACGGTGCGTGAAAGAATACACAGGAAAATTACTTTATATGCCGTATTCGACGTAATAAGCGCCCCGCTCTAATAAGCGCCCACGGCGATAGTTGCTAATATACTGAACAATCTCAATTAGCACCCCATCCGATTGAGAAATGTGCACAAGACTATTTATTCGTGCATAATACGTTTGTTATATGCACCCTTAATTATTGGCAATTAAATTCTGGAAAAATGTATCTGTCGTATATAAACATTTCAGGCTGTCAGCATAAACCACGAAATTTACGATATTTCAACTCTGTTGTTTTTCACCAAAATAATATTCTAATAAGAGCCCCCTATTTCTAATTTTGAGAGCGCCCAGGGCGCTTATTATGTCGAATACGGTACATGTTAGTGGACTGAGGCTGCCGGCCCCGTGGGGTTCACGTCCCGATTAACCCCGATTGTCATCATTTGTGTTTCAGCTCAATGTCCGTGTTCTGTTTGTTTCAACAAAGTAGTACACGTCTACGATCTCGTCACTCTACGTTTTCCGCACATTCAGCGGACACATTGACGTAATTGAAACACTGTTTTAGTGGACGAGTCAACGCTAAGTCATACATTCACTCTCAGAGGCGTTGTTGTGGTAGGCTTGTGGTTAAAACATTCCCTCGTCATGCAGAAGTCCCTGGTTCGCTTTCCACATTGGTACCGTTTCATTTTCGATGTACGCCGTGATGCAGGTGGAATATTGCTAAAAGCGGCGTAAAACCCCACTCATTCACCCACTCTCAGCAGAGTGGGATATTTAAGAAATAAACCACGAGTGGCTTATTCTCCCTGCTTTTTTTTATTGTACGATAAACAACGACAACGAGTAGTGTTTTTCTTATATGAGATATCAACATTATGTACAGCGTCTTTTAGCATGATGATAAAGTGTAAAAAAGCTTTAAAGCTTTAAAAATAATTACCCGTATTTAAATAATGATGATTCCCTGATGTCGGAGAAGTCCGCATATTTTCACAATCCTCACGGCGATCACCTGTACCTTGTCTCCCAATACTGATCGTTATAATCCCCCCCGCTTTTGGACGCGATCGTTCAGCCATCGCGTTTATCTGCGTTGCCCAGCTAAATCTATGGGAAACAACTTACTGGTGTCCCAGGTAATTTTAAGGTCGTTAATGGACGGTAATTGTTGCGTTGCGTGATCGGAAGGTAGCAATTCGTGTACCTCTGCACCTGAACTACGGCAATCTCCTCGTTCTTGGTGCTGGCAGTCAAGGATGTGCGAGAGGTACAATGTCAGTACCCGAGGGCCTTGGACCTATTACCGTAGTTCCTCCAACAAGCACAAAGAGTGATCTTCGTTTAACAGCTTTTATTCCCACTTTGTGTTGCCAGTCAACAGACTCTATTTGTCACTTAAATACGAGACTTCGGCCGCAAAGCTTCAGTCTCAGTCGAATTGCTGGTGCCTAAGTTTGGTGTCTGGTTCGAAAGATCGTGACAACAAGCTTAGAGCGGAGCACCAGTCCAGATGTAGTCTCCCCAGCCGTTACTCTTATCGTCTTGCTCTGATATTCCAACCCTCGACCTACTACCGTCACCCCGCGGTTATCAGTGGCCAAGTATGTTTCCGGTGGTCTTCAACTCCGAACATCACCTGCCCTCAATATATCTTCTGGTGCGTTGTATCTATGTCTTACTGTTTTATCCCCTCACATTGCCCAATTATATATTTTAATTACCGTATGTGTCTTAATGAATTGATAATTGCTGTAATGTCATGCCTATAATACTAGACGCCCCCCTAAAAAAATAACGTCGTCCAAGACACGACGTCATCAAGTAGCGAGCGCATGTTCGAATCTCCAGAAATGACGTCCTGATAGAACAATGTTTGTGAAATAAACCACACTTCGTTCTTCATTATCCCCCGCCGCGCGAAAGCGCGAAGCGGGGGATATAGTATTCACGACCGTCCGTCCGTACGTCCGTACGTCCGTCCGTACGTCCCACCTGTTTGTTGCCGCGATATCTCAAGAACTAAACACTGGATTGTCTTCATATTTGGAACTATGGTGTATATACAGACTCCGCAGACACCAGTCGGTTTTGGTGACCTTGATCCCATTTTCAAGGTCACAGCAGACAAATCTGCTTTTAGAGTTGGAAAACGGTGTTGCCGCGATATCTCAAGAACTAAACACTGGATTGTCTTCATATTTGGAACTATGGTGTATATACAGACTCCGCAGACACCAGTCGGTTTTGGTGACCTTGATCCCATTTTCAAGGTCACAGCAGACAAATCTGCTTTTAGAGTTGGAAAACGGTGTTGCCGCGATATCTCAAGAACTAAACACTGGATTGTCTTCATATTTGGAACTATGGTGTATATACAGACTCCGCAGACACCAGTCGGTTTTGGTGACCTTGATCCCATTTTCAAGGTCACAGCAGGCAAATCTGCTTTTGGAGTTGGAAAACGTTGTTGCCGCGATATCTCAAGAACTAAACACTGGATTGTCTTCATATTTGGAACTATGGTGTATATACAGACACCGCAGACACCAGTCGGTTTTGGTGACCTTGACCCCATTGTCAAGGTCACAGCAGGCAAATCTGCTTTTGGAGTTAGAAAACGGTGTTGCCGCGATATCTCAAGAACTAATCGCTGGATTGTCTTCATATTTGGAACTATGGTGTATATACAGACACCGCATACACCTGTCAGATTTGGTGACCTTGACCCCATTTTCAAGGTCACAGCAGGCAAATCTGTTTTTGGAGTTGGAAAACGGTGTTGCCACAATATCTCAAGAACTAATCGCTGGATTGTCTTCATATTTGGTACTATGGTGTACAGGCGGGGGATATTTCGTCACTCTGTGACAAATACTTGTTGTTCTTTGCGATTGATCGCGTAGCAATCATTTTTGCGTTTTCGAACGAATCTATGCAGCGTTTATATGCAAACAATACGGCGGCCAGTTGACATGCAGTACAGTGTGCGTCTTGTTCACTGGAGCTGTACAGCTGACTTTGAATATTTGTTCACTGTATAAGGTTTCCAGTTTTCTGTTAGCCCAGTGCGTCACAGTATCTCCGTCTGTATCATTGAGCATACTCACATGAAGGTTACCTATATGGGGTATTGGTGCGGAATTCGGGAACGTCAACAAGACCTGTCTATGAAGAAAGGCGATACGCTGCCGGACAAAATAAAGTAAACATCATGTGGCTTAAAATGAAATAATTGAAGATACCCACATGAAGGTTACCTATATGGGGTATTGGTGCGGAATTCGGGAACGTCAACAAGACCTGTCTATGACGAACGGTGATACACTGCCGGACAAAATAAAGTATCCATGTGGCTGAAAATGGTTGTTTGATGGTGATGTATTGGGTACGGGTACCATAGTTAAGCTTTGGAATTTGAAGTGTTTTGGCGACTGTTTCAGCCTATTAATATATTGATACCGTATGTAATGTTTTCGTGAAATCCAATTTTCAAGTGTATATTTTCTTTTGCCTAGCAGGCTATTGGTGCAGTGGCATCGCCATGGCATCACAATAGCTCGATGTGTTTCTTTTCATTCCCACAATGTAGATTTTCAGTATTCCCAGTGACAGGAAGTCTGAAAGGGGTTGTGTGGACCTCGGTCTTGGGCACTTTTCAGTATAGGCCAAGAGTGAATCGTTGTTGTGCACTCAGACCAGGCATACCCGGGTCGGGTAGGTACTGAGTAGGACCCGGGTCCCGCAGGACTACCCGGACCCTGGTTAGTCACGTTCGTCACATTGCTCAATACATGTATCTAAATACGTTTTGCCAGGGCTATGGTAAAAAATCCCAATCGGACATTTTGTACCTATCTGTTGAGACCTACAGTGGGTACCCAAGTTGCGTCGGATAATAGGGGGTAGGTACCTGGGTAGTAAATTTGGACTCGTCCCAGCCCTAAAAGAAATAACTGAAGTCGGATATTGCTTTAACGTGTTTGGCACAGTTACATGCGGGACTATTTGCAGGATTGGAAAAACAGCAAGGGAGATAAGAATGCGACGTACGTGTGGAACAAGGCCCAGTTCGACTCCGTAAACCCTGCGAAAACAGATTACCTGCTAGGTGAGCACACGTCGGATTTGTACTGAACTTCGTAACTGTTAGCTTTTATGCATGTTTATTTTGCTGTTTTGTAGTTATTTTCTCAAATGGTTTGAATGAGAGTTTTAAACAGTACATTTATTACTCACGCTGGCTTGCTTAATTTGCTTGAAAGAATTAAATCCACCTCTTTCCACAACGATTATGTTTTTTTGTTTCTTTTTCTTTTCTTTTGTATTATCTTTTTTCTATTCCACCGGTTGTGGCTTTTATCCTAAACTGGTGTTTCAGGTCTGTTCGAGTCCTCCCACATGCAGTACGATATAGAGCGCAATTCTTCTGGTGACGGGGAACCGTCTCTGGCCGAGATGACGAAGAAAGCGATTGAGATCCTAAAAAAGAACGACAAAGGATTCTTTCTCCTGGTAGAAGGTGAGACAACGACGTCTGTGTGGACCTAACGCTTTGAAGAAAAACGTATTTAGTGAGAGAGTGAGTGAGTGTTTGGTGGAATGATGTTTTGTACAGTTGTTCAGTTCTGTGTGTCAGCTTGTTGTTGGAGGAAAACCTGAATTGACGCAGGTCTCATATGTTTACCACTTTGGTGAAACCCATGAGCACTGGTATGGTGCTGACAAACCTGGAAACATAAACAGGACTGATCTGGGATTCGAACCCACGATTATAACATCCTGACATGCCAAGGGGACTTAATTGCGATTTGTGGTGCCTTTGACGACTGGGCCACCTGTACCCATTTAAAGATGGTGCACGACCAAATTAGAAAGCGACTGTCTCCTCAGTGCGCAGTAACCAATTATGTCGGACTGTGAAAAGATTGGAAGTAGGGAGATGAGTTTGGGTGTGTCTCGTTGTGACGACCAGTTGATGACAGTACCTTTCACAAATCACTAACGTATATATTATATATTTTCAATAGTGTTGAAGTATGGCTGGTGTTGATCTGATGCGTCACACTGGCCGTGCAGAGTTGCGTCCCTTGGGCGCGTCTGGAGCAGCTAATTGTGTGTTTGAATATCATCTTCACTGCGGTTATAAATCCTGATCTGTCAGAACCATACCGGTGCTCGTATGGTAAACCTGCACCGCTTCGGCTTTTCCACCCATATTAAGCTGACACTCACTGAAATGCAGCGTAAACCAACTCATTCCACCTCTCTGTTTCAGCTGGCCGTATTGACCATGGTCATCATGACACCTACGCCAAACGCGCACTGCACGAGGTGAAGGCCCTGCACGAGGCCGTCAAGGCCACCATGGACGTCATCAGTGACTCCGACACTCTCGTCGTAGTCACTGCCGACCACTCCCACGTCTTCAACATCGGCGGCTACCCGTCCAGAGGCAACAATATCCTTGGTAGGTGCCTCGTGACAGCTGATATATTCAATGGCAATCTGTTTGTGAGGGTAATATTAGAGGACTGGATGATTTTATTTGCATTAAGTACACTACTGCTCATAACTACTTACCTTAAGGCACGGGTGGCCCGATCGGCCAAGGCGGCACAATTCGCTGTGGAGAGTTGCGTCCCTTGGGCACACCACACCATGTGACTGTGGGTTCGAATTCCTGTTTGCCCCGATTAAGTTTCTGAGTTTGTCAGCACCATACCCGTGCTCGAGGGTTTCACCAAAGTGGTTAACGTCCTGCATCACTTCGGGCTTTCCTCCCACATTAAACTGACATACCCTGATATAACTGGAATACTGTTCAAAGCAGCGTTAAACCCAACTCACTCACTCCGAATCAACGAAAGGCCCTTGTAGGTCAACTAGAAATGGCCAATGTTAAAAGAAATTTATTATTTCTTTTCACTTTTTAAAATGGTTGTGTAGATTCTTGGTCGAATGTATGTTAAGTTTTCCCAAAAACACGAACTTAAATATGAACATTAGGTACATCCTCTGAGGATAATGATAAAATTACCCGTATTTAAATAATGATGACTACCTCAATAGAATCCAACCTCGGCAATGTCGGACAAGTCATATTCTCATAAACCTCACGTTGATCGCCTGTACCTTTTCTCCCAATACCGATTGTCATATCTCTCCCTCTTCTGGATGCGGGGCGATCGGATAGCCTAGTGGTTAAAGCGTTTGCTCGTCACGCCGAAGACCCGGGTTCGATTCCCGACATGGGTACAATGTTTGAGGTCCATTTCTGGTGTCCTCCGCCGTGATATTGCTGGAATATTGTTAAAAGCGGCGTAAAACCAAACTCACTCACTCACTTTTGGATGCGATCGTTCGGCCATCGCGTTAAACTGCGTTGCCTAGCTACAGCTATGGGGAACAACTTACTTGACACTTGCCTGTCAACAATAACGTCGTCCAATATACGACGAGCGCATGTTCGCAATCTCTAGAAATGACGTCATGGTACAACAATGTTTTATCGTGAAATAAGCCACATTTCGTTCTTCATTGTTCTTTGCGATTTATCGCGTAGCTGTATTATTGGAAAATAAAGCACAAACGGATGGGACACACAGATTTGACATTAGTCGAATGCTGTTTAAAGCGGCGTAAAAACCCAAATCACTAACTTATTTCGCAAAACATTTGTGGTACTACCGCAGCGCGGTTGTGGAATCACCGCGGTACGAATGTAGAATCATCACGGTATATTTGTAAGTTATCACGTCACCGAGTTTGAGCGTCAGTATCCGTATTTCAATCCTCCATTTTCCACAGGGACAGACTTGGATTGGCTGAGGTAAGGGGAAAAGAACCGGGTAATTTCCATTCCAATTAATGTGTAGTAACTCAAGTTAATTCTGTACATTATCAGACCTGACTTTGAGTCAATATGTGTTTTTGTCGAATGACATAGGTCCGCTTCTTGGCCAATTAATATTGCGGTAATCTTTGCATTATATGATAATATAATATCTTGCATTGATCAGACAAGGTGGACCGGGTGCCGAACTACAAAGAAGCGTTGGACAATATGCCCTACACAACCCTGTCATACGGGAACGGCCCACAGATCCGCCAAAACCTCACTGAGGTGAACACAAGTAAGTAAACATATTCCACCCCATTATCGATTGTCCAGGGCATAATATCTCGAGATAAATACTTCGGGCCCATTTGTTTCGTTTCGGAAGTGACGTCATAAGACCCATCTTATGGCTGACTATAATAGCACAGAATTTCTCTCGCTCATGTTAGTACTTTTATTGGACGGTATAGTGGCATTCCAATCGGGCTCATAACGAGGCCGTTGTGACGAAAGAGTGCAGGGTGTCTGTCATAATCGAATGGATATATAATGCACTTGATAATCAAAGATGATTCCATCATATGACATCTTCCAGAGGCAAGGGAATTAACTGACTATAAAAGTCCAGTTTTCACCCTTGCTGAGCTAGGTTGGAATTCCAGAGTTACAGTTTGGCTGGACTAACGAGTCATTGCATTGTCCAATCAAAATCGCATAACGAACTACACATCTGGTTCGTAAATAACATGGATTTTTAACGTGAAGACTTCGGTCGACTGCAGGATTTGCAAAGTATGTGTACCGTCAAATGGGCATCGACAGGTATTTTGCAAATCTTTTCATGTTTTTGATCAAGGTGCTCAAGTGATTTGATGCAGTTAGCGGGGTGAGGCCCGTTTTATTTACAATACAGATCTTGATCAGTGATCAGATCGTCTTGACTGGAAATCGTCATTTTGTTTGAAGCAAATGCAAATGATATGAGAAATGGAATTTGCTTGGTCAATACGAGGGACATATTCGTAATAGCCCCTGGTGGTGCTACGATCGAGCCGGGGAATTCCAGGCTCGTTCAGCAAGGGTGGAAACTGGACTTTTAAAGACAGTTAACGCCCTTGAATCCGGGAAGAAGACTGGTTACCTACTTAAGTTTAGTGACATGATATTAAATGATCGTAATGTAAAGTCAATAATCTGCCAAGCAAAAGAAAGCATACCCCCATGATCGATGGTAGTTAACAATGGCACACAAACGTAATAGTAATTATTCGATGGTGATGTAACGAGCAGAGTGAAGCAGGTATTGTCACGATCAGCTTGAGTTGGTTCACAGACACACGACATTCAGCTCAGTAACGTTCTGATTAAGTTTGTAATTTTTTGGTTATATTCAATTTTCAAGTGTATACTTTTGCCCGACAGTTTATAAGTGCGGTGATCCTGAACGCGACGTCAAACCCGAGTTCACCTCACATTTGTGCTTCTGATTTTGTTGGGGGCACGGGTGACCCAGTCGTCTAAGGTGCCGCCATTCGCTGTGCAGAGTTGCGTCCCTTGGGCACGGCAGAAACCTATGATTGTGGGTTCGAATCCCGGTTCGCCCCGATTATGTTTCTAAGTTTGTCAGCTCAATACTCGTGCTCGTGGGTTTCACCGAAGTGGTAAACGTCTGAGACCTGCATCACTTCGGGCTTACCTCCCACATTAAGCTTACACGTCGTGATATAACGGGAATACTGTTAAAAACGGCGTTAAACCCAACTCACTCACTCACTCTGATCTTGTTACAGTCGATGTGGATTACCGGTTCACAAGTGCAGTTGGATTGGAATATGAAACCCATGGAGGCGAAGACGTTGCAATATTCGCCCACGGTCCCATGGCGCACCTGTTCCATGGGGTGCACGAGCAGAACTATATTCCGCACGTCATGGCGTACGCATCGTGCGTAGGGATCAACAAGAAGCATTGTGATGTGGTCAAACCTGCAAAGGGAAGTGGACAGAAAATTGTGTATTACTACGCTATTGTTCCCTGTCTGTCATTAGCTGTGTTGTTATCAGGGATGAGACACTGATGCTGATGTGGTGTCCATGTTTGTTAACTGTGATGTTTCAGAATATTCATGTTGCTCGGTTTAAGATATTTGTTCTCACTTGTTCAAAAACATAACCATAATTACATTTAATAACAGTTCGCCTGAATAGACGACCCTATTTTCTATTATTGTATGAGATTATACATGAGGGACTAATGACTGTATTGAGCTAAATAAAGTACTAGTATTCCCGGCTAAAAACGCTTCCCATGGGTTTATGAGTTTGTCTGGGGCGATGGGGTAGCCGAGTGGTTAAAGCGTTCGCATGTCACGCCGAAGGCTTTGGTTCGATTCCCCACATTGGTACAATGTTTGAAGCCCAGTCTGGTGTGATATTGCTCGAATATTGCTAAAAGCGGTGTCTATTGACTAGCAACTGTTTGCTAGTCCACGATACACACCACAGTGACTTGAATCAACGACAGGAGGCTCCGGGTGGCCTGGTCTTCAAGGCGCCGCAATTCGCTGTGCAGACAACCCGGTTCGGCCCGATTATGTTTCTTGGTTTGTCAGCAGGATACCCGTGCTCGTGGGTTTTCACCAAAGTGGTAAACGTCTGAGACCTGCATCACTTCGGGCTTTCCTTCCATACACCTTGATATAACTGGAATACTGTTCAAAGCTGCGTTAAACCCAACTCACTCACTCACTTACACCGTTTCAACGAGAGGTAAGATAAGGGCTACAGGAAATAAAATTATTGTTATTGAAAATAAATTATTGTTTCGTATCGCTTTATATTTTCAAAAAATAGTTATGTAGATTCAAGGTCGAATTATATTTTTTAATTTTTGCTTCGATTCCCCCAAAACACGAACTTAAATTCACCATTTTACTAAATGAAAACAATGATAAAAGAAGTAGATAGTGTCTTCGTGTGCCCTCGGAAAAATAAGCACGAACGCAGGGGACATACAGATTTGATCATTCTCAAATATTCAGACAAGAAACGTTTTGTGACAGCCCCTAAAAGGGGCACCTAGATCCGGAGGCATCATCAACTGAGGGTTGATTTGCATCACGAACTGGAAATGGGTTAAATCTTGCTTGGACTGCCTTTTTGACGGAGCCTTAGTTCCTCTTTAAAACCAAGCTTTGTGATACTTGTATTGCATAAGACGTATTTGTGTCGATGTGATGAACAAAGCAAATTCTCATTCATAAAGAAGGCTTTTAAAACAAGATTTGCTGATGCAACGTTGAGCAATATTTACTCGTTCAGGCGAGGTGAGGTGAAATGGGGTTTAACGTCGCGTCGAAGATTATTGCACTTATATAGCGAGGTGCATGTGTGTGAGTGTGTGTGTGTGTGTGCGTGTGCGTGTGTGTGCGTGCCTGTATTTGTCCAGACCAATGTCGGTTTTATAGTGCTACCTCGCTGAGATACCATGCCGCAGTTTAATATGCATACGCCAGAGACAGTATACTGACTCGAGCCGACCATTTCTCGTTGAGCTGATGTCGAGCGCGAGGCAGGGTAACAACAAGTACGATCTTTAAACGTATTTTGGTATGACGCGACCGGGGATCGAACCCCGGACCGTCCGCTTTCAGGGCGGACGCTCTACCACTTGACCTCGGAGGCAGACAAATATTTATAAATTACTTGTCCCAAAAAATGCCTAGTTTCATTTCTTTTCCCTTCCACTGATTGGAAGAGGGTGGGCTGTACAGTCAAACACCGATGTGTCGAAGTTTAAGGGACCTTCGTAACTACTTCGAGTTATCCGAAGTTTGACATAACCGAAAACGATAAATAAAGAAGGAATAATCACGGACCATGGTTTTACTTCGAGACAACCGTAAGTTCGACACATCAAAGTTCGATACAACAGTGTTTGAATTAAGCATTGTTGTCGCGTAAATCAACGGACGTATTATTTTCACAATTTCCTAAGTTGATACAGAAAACCTTGTCATCTCGATATCATCCAAGTACCACTCGTTCTTTTCGGATGAAGCCGAAGGCCTTTTTCCAGTTTCCGGAGATACGCGAGAGGTAGCGAGTCACCATGAACACATGCCAAATGCATCGATCTTCGAAGTGCAATAGTGCAACAGATAAAGTGCAAAATATAGGGGAATTGTTCCAATGATGATAAAGGCATGAAACGTAACACAACTATATATCTATTTGTATGTATATTGTGTAAAAGATCGTTAGCAACACGGAAATCTAAGATGGCAGCCATATTTCAAGATGGCTATCATTTGCCATTATCATTATCACAAGAACAATTGTGACATCCATTCATGAAAACCAAACAATTAAAACATCAAACATGAAAACAAACAAAAACACTTGTGTGTGGCAACATATGGGCGCAGTTTATTCAGTATTGGTGGCGGTACCCTGGGGGAGATACCTATCACAAATAATAACCTATCACCATCATGAAACACCCGAGCAGCTCTTAACCCAGGGGAGATAGCCCACGAGAGTAACCATCGATGAGCAACTCCCCTCCCTGTCCCTGTCGACAAGCCGTCGAAGCAACCTAGCAAATGAAATATCTGAGCGCCAAAATAGAACACCCGAGCAGCTCAGAACCCAGGGGAGATAACCCACGAGGGTAACCATCGATGAGCAACTCCCCTCCCTGCCCGTCGACAAGCCGTCGACTAACACTCGGCAAACCGCCGTGCTAAATCATGCCAAAACCCGACAAGCCGTCGGAACATCCCCTCCAGCAGGCCGCTGGACCAACCACAAACCATAGCAAAGGGATACTTGTGAGGGTAACTCATCAACAAACATTGCCCCAGCTACCTAGCCCTATTCAAATACAGATTTCCCCCAGGATCCCACATATAATACAGCACTGCACCAAAGGAAAAGAAAAACAAGACCAATCATTGACGGATAAACTTATCTGAAATGTCGCATGTAAGTTATTTGAAAATGCTGCCTAATATGTCCATAAAGGTTATTTAGCGGCTATCTGACCTTGTATCTAGCCCTACCAACTGTTCATCCCACTGTGGATGCAAAGACCAAACTAATTGACCTGCTCCACTTGTCAATGCCTCATGCTTTGTTGGGGATGATGGTCAACTGCTGGTAGTGCTGAAAGATAAAGTATGAGAAAAACAGCATACATGTGGAAATATGGTCTTAAACATACATGACATTTCAATTCAAATGTAATAATGAATTGCTTCTAAAATATGCATTTACAGCACAATAGCCTACATTTGGAGTGAGGGTGGGAGAATGTTACCCACGTGGAGCTTGTTTAAAAGTTAGACAGGAAAGGATAACTCCTGTCGATGACCTGAATAACCTATCCAAACGTTTTAGAGTTATCTCCCTTTAAGTTGCTTTCAATTGCCAGTAATAATGAATTTTATCTCAAATGCTTTCAATAAAATATCTCATCTATTTGTGACATAGAAATTAATGGAATTGTCCTATTTTGGCGAACGTAGCCTTTTTTTCAATGTTCAATAAAGTGTTGGTTTTAGTACTTCTGATTGTTTTATTTTCATTATTTCAGAAGTCTTTCATTGAAACAAATGACTTTTGTTAAGGTGACTCGCAAAACTGACTAATATTTAACCTTTTAAACTGACCTATTCTAACCTAGATCTTCACGGGTAGCCTGAAATATGGACTAATATACCTAAGGTTTATATACATGTGGACATATGAGGTAGTGATGCCACAAAAGGGTTGCACATGACATGCAAGCAGGAAACATGTACATAACAACATTCACGGACACAACCCATCCTGGCCCCACATGGGCTGTACATGTATATCCACTCAGGGACGGGGCCACAAAGGGCTACCCATTTAGGACAACATTAACTCCACGTGGGTACAGACTGTTTCCCCTGCTTTGGCCAAGGGCGCGGTCACTAAAAGAGGATTGGTTGGTAACAATGGCGGGTTTTTCAAAAATGGAATGATTACCTGGAGAACATCTCCATTAAACTGGAATCATTTGAGATGAAAAAAAGACCCAAAGGAATCCGAGGTATATTTTTTCGATGTTAGCCACTATTGCATTCCGAATGCATAACAAATTTCAGGAAACAGAGATTTTACTTTTTAACCTTTTGAAACAATGTTTTAAATCACCCGAGGGGAACACCCGATGAGTACAGAGGCGAAGCATTTTGTTCCAATGTCTTTGTGTTGCTTATAAAGATGCGAACCCAGTTCACAGTTTTTGTTTTATATATGCACATTTGTGCACATTCGTGTTGACCCGTGAAGATATGGAGTAGAATAGGTCTTCAGCAACCCTAGCTTGCCGTAAAAGGCGACCCTGCTTGTCGTAAGAGGCGACTAACTGGATCGGGTGGTCAGGTTGATGCATGTCATCGATCCCAATTGCGAGGATCGATGCTCATGGTGTCAATCACTGGATTGTCTGGTCCAGACTCGATTATTTTACAGACCGCCGTCATATCGCTGGAATATTTTTGAGTGCGGCGTTAAACAACAAACAAACAAAATTCACATTCGTGTTGTGAAAGAAATCGTAAAGATAGAACACACCGCCCCTATACAATGTAGATGTGTTCCGGCTGACCTACGGATTCAGCCGAGGGGGATAACGACGTACCAGGACGTCCCAGTGTCTTTTATGTGGCTATTAGAGATCCGGATGTAGGTCACAGTACGCACTTAAATGCACATTCGTGTTGTGAAAGAGATCGTACAGACAGAACACACCGCCCCTATACAATGTAGATGCATCTTGGATGTGGGAAAGTGAGGTTGCCTTTCGCCTTCAGCAATAGTATAACACACCAGTAGGGGATGGCTTCAAAGCTGTGCAGGGGTTGTGGGTGTGGTATACGGAACCTGGGTCAATGACAATGATTTGTGCCAATTTTGAACAATCAATTATCATCTGTTTTCTTTTTATATGATATATAAAATATGTATCTGATATCACGTTTGCGTTTCTTTTTTTGCAGAGTATATTACACCACAGCAGGGGATAGCATCAAGTAGTTTCACAGGTGGGCATGGGGTGGCTCGTTAGGACCCGGATCTGCATGTACTGTACGTCCTAAACTGTAGCTGACAGCGCCATCCCCCTTCCCCCAATACACAAACAGCACCTTCATCCTACACACCCCTCACACCCGCCATCCCCACGCCGTGTCTGAATGAAACAACTACATATGGGAGTGTTATTGAATACTCACAAAAGGTTAAACCATGAGCAGTTTTATTTACCCCGGTCCTT